GGGCGCCGAATACTCTGTGGTATCCCCTCGAGCAGCGAAGGTAGAAGATACGTTTATTAAGAAAAATACGACGGTGATTTGTTAAAAGAAAAAACATCAAGACCGAGGGTATATAGACCTCAGATACAAAAAAGAATAAACAGAAAGTAAGTAAAGACTGCTGTGTTTTGTGTACAAATTTGGTGCAGTTGCAAACTTGTGGTTATTTCAAATACAGGTCTATAGGTCTGCTCAGTCTACCATATCCCGATAAGTGCACCGAGCAGACAACGCGCTCTGTCGTCCACTCGCTGCGTCTATCGCGAGATGGCACCACGCGTTACGACATTGCCAGCTAGGTTGTCTGCAAACCTGTCTGCCATTGACGTTGGCAAGTTTGTTGTTCTCATGTTTCACAGAAACTGAGCTATGCCTTAAATTTTTATCAGCTAACACACACATTCCAAGCATGTTTGGTGAGAGCTTGAGCTTCCTATGTGCAGGTGTTAACTTTTCCGGTTCGTTTTACAATGCAAGGTGCATCCGAGCCGCCCCATAGATACCGGCCAACTTAATAGGAGGGAGTCCGGGATAGCTTTTGAGTGTGTGTTGCTGCCGCCTCGTCTCTGGCATCTCGTGCGACCACATGCTCCGAGAATGGATCCGCTCCGTACGACATCCCAACAGCGTGTCCACCGACACGGTCCCAGCTGCGGTCATTTTAGTCACTGTTCCCGACAACCATTCCTCTCCTATTGCAAATTTCCACGTCCAAATTGGATCTCTGCGACACTTGCTGGTTCCCGCAGAGACATCAGCGGGAGTCCAAGCACAGTCTAAATCTGGTTGCGTAGGAGTATGGTACGTAAAACGCATCTCCCGCTGGTATGCTTAGTGTCCCACTCCTCCCACGCATCCAGAGTTGTCACTGAGTGGCAACAAACGACCTTGCAAAAGCAGGAGTGTCACGCCATCGGATGTCGCGATCCTGGCGATTAAGCGTAAAGTTCTTTAAAAAATATGAAACGCTCGGCAACTGTTGCAGCGATCCAACTCCTGGCTGCCCAAGTTGTCGCAAACCGTCGAGCTGGAGGGCGACCCGCAGCAAGACAAAGCGTCTGCTACGTCCGCCGCCGCGACGCCACCAAGATCGCGGCCGTCATTGACGTGACAGTCGCACGCCGCCGACGGGCGGGAATCGAGAGATCACTTTTTAGGACGGGGTAAACGCTACAGTTGGTGGTGCATTCCCGGCTCCTTGGTAGTAGAAGCGGCGATGGCGAGGGCACGTCCGATTGGGTGGTTTTTTGTTAGGCGAATAACTCCTTAGCCGGACAAGCGGATAGTCTTCCTTGCGTAAACTTTTTTGGACGAGTGGTGACCATCTCGGCTGCTCTTTCTGCCAAGCCGTTTGTCCAGGGGTGGCAAGATTCGGTGCGGGGACGTTCCGCGTTATTCGCGGTGAGGAACGAAGAGAATGATTCTGTCCGATAACCGGGTCCCATTATCGGTTGCCTTAGTTCTAGGTGGTTCGAAATGGCGGAGCATCTAGCACCCCGCACTCGGGGCGGAGTTGGCGGCCTTTTTCCTCGTGGCATCGGCTTCTGTTCGTTGTGGGCGAAGGTCCCACGCTATCGTGGCTTCGCAGTGCAGCCATAGCTATCACTGTGACTGTACTGTAGATTAATGATGAGCTGCTAATTTTTTTTTATATTCCAACACCTTTGAGTTGAGCCCTAAGAAATCTAGACATATAACTTCTTTCCAAATGGCAAACCCAATATTAGGTAAAAACGTCTAGAATTTTTGCGAGATTCTTATGGCCATCCCATGTACTTGTACCAGTTACCATTGGGAGTTCCAAGTGCAAATATTATTGTTCTGTTTGAGTTTTGATCTTCTACAATGGTGTGCACATCCAAACACATCCCTTTCCCCTCTCCCCTGCTTGAATTTTTGCGCTATATAAAATCCAAGATGTAGACAGTTCAGCCACAGATTTCCTGTTGTTTCCTTTTGGGAAACATTTAGGACTGTTTTCCGAGGTTTGTTTTATTTGGGCTGGTCAGTATATTTTGACGGCGAATGATCATCTAATATAAATTTTCCTTGAGCACCTTTGGAGGAATATTGAACTAGGCCAGTGTACCACATGAGTCAAGGGGTCGTTGACCGTTTAATGGGGCTGCATAAATCGGTTCCTTAACGTATCATGCGAGGATTTACCACAGAGGCGCCTAAAGGCACCTCTGCATCAAAATTTGACCGAACAAACTTATTTGGCTAAAAGCCTACATATCAAGAACTTAAAATCCCTACCTACGGTGTTTGTCTGCTAACGAAAGGCGTCTGATTGGTGCAACATCTCTGTGGTCTCTAGCTTTGCCTTCTACGATTGGGGGGGACAGTGCTATGCATTCCTCACCGTAGAACTCTGTTTCTGTCTACTGTGGGATATAAAGCCACCCACCACTCGTAATCATACCTGTTTGGAGTTAAGTTTGGGGCAGGGATGTTGAAGTGCGTTTCATGTGCAGCAATTTCTCTCCTAGAGCGGCGCGATTTCCGTTGTTGGGGCGCTCTGGCTAGCCACAGCGGCACAGCGGCGCGGTTTGGTGGAGTTAACGGCGGTTCACGTGACAGGAGGAGAAACACTGCGGGAAAGCCTGCGCATAGGACGGCATTTCCACGTTTCTAGCAGATGACGTGGAGAGAAAATATGCGGCCGATTTGGTTTCTCATGTTGGGTCCTTTCTGCTGGGCCCATTTCCTGCTCCAGTGGTGTGTCCAGCCTTGAAGGAGTATTAACCTGTGTGTCTGTGGTCCGTGAGGAGGTTTTGTAAGGTCGATTCCTTTTTTCATCTCCAATTTTGTGTCACAGTGTGTATGTATTTGCATTTATTTATTTATTTATTTCAATACCTTCAAAGCCACACAACATTACAGAAGGGAGTGGGGGAAAAACAAAAGTACAAAAAATAGAATTCAACACATATTATTTAACATAATAGTTTTCAATGTCAGACTTGAATGCAGGAGCGTCTGTGATTGTGGCGATGGAGATGGGCAGGTGGTTCCAGTCATTAGTAGTTCTTGGGATAAAATAATCAAAAAAGAGCTTTGTGCGACTGAAAGGAACGTGGACTGTATGGTGATGATCATTTCGATGGGATACATACGATGGTTCAGAAAAAAGCTCTTCACTTAGATGCTGGTTGTGATGCTAAATTTTGTGAAATAAGGACAAACGAGATAATTTTCTACGCAATGAAAGATTCGAAAGATGTAAAGTTAGTTTCATGGATGATACACTGGAAAAACATGAGAAATTAGACAAAATAAAATGTGCGCCACAATTTTGTAAGGATTCAATTTGATTAATTAGAAATTCATGGCCTGGGTCCCACACCAAACTCGCATACTCAAGCTTGGATTTAACGAGGGTCTTGTACAGTAGTAGTTTTAATGATGAAGGAGCCCTTGAGAAGCTGCGGCGTAAGTAACCTAGCATGCGATTAGCCTAGTTAGCAATAAAATTAATGTGAGTTTGCCAGGAGAGGTCAGATGTTATATGGACACCTGGGTATTTGTACAATGTCACCTGTTCAAGAGCGGAACCAATGCTGTATTGAGGAAAGTTAGTACAGGCAGCTTTCCGTGAAATTCAATTGGGAATAGCTTAAATACGTTTGAAACATGCTTTAAAAAAAAATAAAACTAAACAAAGGCACATCGAGATTGATTTTTGTTTTTGCTATACCTGTTTAGTTTTACTAAAATAAAATTTAAAGTAGAAAGAGGAAATAAAGCAGGGAGATTGTTACTGCAAGCCACAAAAACCTAGTTTTGTGCGAATAGTGGATTTTGAGTTCGAAGCAAATAGTGGTTTTGGCTGAATATTTTCGAATCGAATATCGAAAAGATTTTCCACACCATTCACTACTATTGCATAATGCTTAGACAAAAACCCAGCTAAACCTGTGAAGGTTATTCCACTTGTTCATTTATAAGCTAAGTTTAATCTATCTATAATTATGAACTGTGACCTCAGAAGGTCTGATGTTTTGGGATGATAAGTAAACGACGGATTTGACATAAAATGAATCCTATAAAGATGGCCACCTAGTATACCAATCGAGTGAATTTACAAATTTTGCTATGTAAAATATTCTGTCTTTAATCTCGAGTTAAAAAGGAATGAATCGTGCATGATCAACACAGGTTGTGAAAGCATCTCTGTCTAACATAGTATATACTCTTGCCTAAAAGTTTAATTTTGAATCTTTTACTACAGTGTAGATATACACATTCAGAAAGTTTCCATTTATTTTCGTAAACAGTCGGCACGGGTGCACCATCCCGCTTCGAATGTATGCTTTTCTTCCAAGCACGCAATTATAAATCGATATTGTTAATCGCGGCAAGTTACCCCGTTAAGTGGCGCTTCTTACCGAGCGCCGATGTAATGCAGAGAAGGAACACCCAGGGAGCTCACTTCCATGGGTTTGGCTTCTCCACAGCGCACCGGTGCGTGGTAAGAACCGCCCTCAACAGGGCTAACCTGCCGCAATCAACACTTCGAAAAACGCGAATAGTGCAGTTCTTTTCGAAGCGAATATCGAATAGTGTATTATTCGGAACTACTATTTGAAATTTTGAATATTCATACAACCCCACAAAAACCCATTGGGCTTGTCCGCTTGCTGCAAGCAACATTGGGCATCACAGCTGCAGAAAACGGTCATGTGAAATGGAACCTTGTGAACCGTGCCGATGCGCTGCTAGCGGCAGTGGTTTCCTACATACTTCAGTGACCAGAAGTCTGTTTTGTGTGTGATAGAGTAAATGAAGAGTGGATATGCTTAAACGTGGCTGTTACTATGCACAGTGACAGATATCACTGTCACTTTTCCACACACTGCGGTGAAAAGTTGCAGATTTTAGTGGGGTAGTTGTTTGTATGTTTTTTGCTGACCGTGCTGGACCTTAACCTTCTCTCCCCTTCCGATTGTGTTGTGCAGGATCTCCAATTTCGAGGACTCGCTGAGCCAACTCCTCCAGGGGAGAGGGGAGGTGACTTTTGCCAGGGGTCCCTGGAGGGACCTTTCTCCAGGAGACAAGGTGATGCCAATGGCTTCCTTTTCTTCCCAGGAAAACAGCTCCCCCCTCTCCTTTTCTGTGCATGTTAGGATAGAGTCCGGCAACCCTCGGCGTACCATAGACGCGGATGCATCTTGATCAGACGAGCTAATCCAGCAGAAAAGGGAGTAAAAGAGGCATAGAGGAAGCCATCCTCGTGAGCAGTTAATTAAAAGAGAGTGATCGTCCCTAACGGGCATTATGGCTTGTAATGCCAGGATGTCTTCCACGACTGTTTTTTTTAAGCTGAGACAAGAAGCTCTGCCTTCAGCACGTGCTCGCTGACTTCAGCAGTGCTTTGGTTGTGCATGCCTGCGCAGGCCGGCGGTGGCGGGGCTGAAGCGCCATAAGGCTCCTCCCTGACTAGGCCACTGCCATGTGGGGACTTTAGGAAGCGCAGTCTTCCGATCCGGTGCTTCGGGCTTTCAATGTTTCCACGAAGTGTGCTGTTTCCGGTGTTGTGCGTGGTCTTTGTGTTTTGGGTATGGTGCCTGGAATGCGTCTCCGACGAATGCGTTAAGCGTCCTATTTTGCCCATGCGTAAAAAGTAGTCCCAAAGTGGCAACTAATCTCATCAGGAAAGTTGCAACGTCATGCTATCGAATGTCGCGATCCTGGCGGTCGGTCGTAGGAATGCCGGCAAAAAGTGCGAGTGAACGCAAGTGTCGCTGTCGTCGTGACGTCCCGACTACTGGCTGCCGAAACTTCCGCAGACTGTCAAGCCGGAGACCTACAGTTCCTCTGTATAGCTACCTACTGTAGCAGAGTTGCGCATTCAGCCTCAACGGGGGGTCGTAGCACCGGCTTTCCTGCACGACCCGCAAAGCAACGGCGGAGACGAGAAGGAGGTGGAAACAGGGGAACATACGCCGGGGCGCGTGCGATGTCGGCAAAGCAACCGTTGCTGTGGCTTTCCTGCACGGCGCTGGATGCTTTGCTCCCCCTGTGATCGATCTCGGTGAATAGTGGCGTGGCGGCTCGGGGAAAACAAATGCGCTACCATCTGCCACATCCACCGCAGCTGCCTTGACACCTCCAGGACCGCAATATGGGACAGCGCGATGCTTTTGCGACACTGTCGGGTGGAAGGGGGGACCAGTTTTGGGGACGCGGTAAACGCACCGGTCGGAGACGCGTTGTGGGCATCGTAACTTTTTGGGTTCCCCTGACCAAGCTCGTCTCCCGCAGCTTTTGACGGTGAAGTGGCTCCTGGACTATGCTTACGAGGTTGAGGAGGAAGGATTGTCGGAGTTCTTGGACGACCACTTTGATGCCGATGACCTGGTGAGTCCGCTCGTCCTACCGGCTGCCCGGTGCCAGTCCTCCCGTTTCCCTCTCCATTTTAATGGACGATCCATTTCTGGACTCTGGAAGTTGATTTTGGAAATGGAAGTAACGTCGCGGGGATAGCGTACTTTCGAGATTGCGTGACCGTGCGGTCGCCTTGGATGTGATGGGGTGACGTTGCGTGACGCGGTCGCACGACCCAGTGAGGTATGATGCGGTAAGTGGTAAAACACCGCGCGACACGGTCGGGTGGCTCGACTGCCACGAACGGATTCTCCGTTCGCAAGAGTTTGGGTGGGAGCATTTTTTTCGTGAGTGCTGATAGTCTGTGCTTTGTGATTGTTTCACGGGAAGTTGTCTCTTGAGGCCTTGGTCTCTCGCAAAGTTTATGGGAGCAATATCAAAATGAGAAGTGTAGGTTTTTTGCTGACACTCGCTTGCACTGTGCCGCCAGAGTGAGAGCAAACCTGAACGCCCGATTCTCGAACGGCTATTCTCGCGCAGAAATCGGCTGAATTTGGAGCCTCAAATATTCTTTCTGGGTGGTTGGGACTTCGCGAATCGGGTTTCAGTAAGAATTTCGGCAAACAGAGATACTCGTCAGTGCCCCTTTAAGGATATGGAACTAGGAGGCAGACTTCGTGGTAAGAAAGGATTTTCTTTTCTGCTAATCTGGACGGATCTAACGACCTGACCCTAACCATTCAGCTTTTTTTGTGCCTTGTCCACTCTGACTTTTGGATGAAAATGCCTGGGATAGGGAATAGGCATAGTATAGGCGCGAGTAGGCATCTTCCTACGGTGTCGGGTTTCGGAAGGCGACCACTTGCCCGCAAGCTAGTCTCGTAGACCGAGAAAGAGGACGGGTACTCACGTCGGGCCGATTTGGCCCTTGCTATCATGACTGAAATACCGAGGTACATTTGCCGAGAGGTATTATTTTATCGGGCCTTTTTATCGTGCCCAGCCTGTGCCTCGAACAGCGCTCTTCCATCCTTTTAGCTTTTTTCTGAACTGTAGGATGGCACGAGTGTCCTTACACGGGGTGACGCCGTAATTTGGCAAACGAAGTCTATGGGAAACATTCCCCACAAATACACTTGGCCACGCTCATCCAGCAAGTGGGACACACATTCACAAACATGGTATAGCTTCATTACTTAAGGACATCTTAGCTTACTGAAAACAAACGAGAAAACTATTATCACCTCATGTACGGAGACTTTTGCGCCATCCCGTAGAGTCGGCAGTGCCCGAGAGGTTCACGAGCGTTTGAGTCGAGGGGGATGGAGTGGCAGCACTGGGAAAAGGGAGACACGGTACGGAGTCTATGTTGAGAACTAGTAGGTTCGTTAAAGTCAAACTCTTGTCACTATGTGACGCCGAAGTAAGACGCAGAGTTTGGGGTTTCGATATTCTAGTCCCTTGCAAGAGTACCTCGTCCAATGAAGGAGTCTTCGCACCTTTGTTGTAAGGAAGTGCAAGTTTCGTCGGAGCTTCCTCTTCTTGTTCCGGGAGGTGACGGGGTTTGAAGCGGGCAACTAACGGGGGAGTCTTTTCTGCTCGCAACGCATGACCTCGACGCGAGAGCGCCACTACGGTACCCGGAACGTGTTTCCGACCGCCGCGTCGACCGTCCCGTCCTGCCCACGCATCGAAAGTGGTCCCAAAGCGGCAGCAGAGTCTCTCGCTGGTCTGGCAAGCCGCCGGATGTTGCAGTCCCGGCGATGGGCCGTAGGAGTGCCGGCGAGAAAGGCGAGCGCACGCGATTGTCGCCGCAGAGCGACTTACGGTGGAACGGGCGTCTACTATAATGCCCTCTGGGCGACGTAGGTACGAAATAAATAAATAAAAGACGTCCGCCACATCCACTTCCGCCCCCGTGCCGCCTCCGAGCAACTGCACGACAGTTCCGCGAGTTCCGTGACGTCCTCGGACGCAAATCATGGGACCGTTTTCGAAGACGCGGCAGACGGACCGGTCAAAGACGCGCTCCGGGTGCTGTAGCGGCACTTTGGGCAGAGCCTGGCTGGCTCGTGGTGTTCCTTCTGTGAGCATAGACCAACGCCTTTCTGGGTTGTGTTATGTGCTTGCAGCGTGGCACCCGTGTAGGCCAGGATGCTTTCGACAATGTGTACTGGTACTTGGAAGGTGAGGGGACGCTTCATAGCCTTCTGCATTCTTCTTTCCTGGTTTAAAAAAAAATACATACCCACCTTTGTTTGCTTGGTTTTTTTCCTCCCGTTTTATTTTTGTTGTGCCCATTTCAGTTGTTGTCCCTGGCCCCGGAGAACGCTATACGCTGTGCAAGTCTGTCGTTGCGTGCTTGTGGCGTGGCCGCGACAGTCAGACGACTTCTTTGTCTGCTTTTGGGGAAGGCGGGACCGGATAATTAGGGGGATGCGAAGGTTTACACCGGTACAAAAGAAAACAGTGCGAGACAAAGAAGCCGATGTGCGTGGCACACGGCACTGTCGGTTTCCAGACCCAACTGCATGCATTGCTGGTTACATCAGTCATGTTGCTGGGATCCCTAGCATGCAACTGTATGTCTCCGGTACAGTTGGAAAAAGCAAGAAAGGAAAGACGGGAGAAATGTGCATGCCCGAGCAGTAAAACTCTCTGTGCACATCGTTTTCTTAGTGTCGTCAAAGCTTGTTCGCTTCAAGCCTCAGGTGTGTGGTCGCGTTGCCTGAGCGGAGGACTTTAAATACATGCCCATGTTTCCTAGAGAATGGCGTGCACGGTTCTTTTTTGCTTCCACAGTTCCACTATCTTTTGATCTGCACACATATGCTGCTCTTAATGTGCTCCAAAATACTCGCTTTTTCACTTTCACATTCACCTCGAAACTTTCTCGTGCCTTTGGTCCTTTCAGCGCAAACAAACGAAATGCATATCATCCGCATTCTTGGTGCCCAAGCACAAGTGCAAAGCTGTCGCTTTCAATTCTGGCTCCTGTAGGTTAATGCAACTTTGATGTCGTCATTGTTAGCCCCTTATGTTTCTCTGCCGACCTCTTCAATAAACGAAGCTGCTGACCATTGCAAAAACCCTTACGAACCAGTGCCCCATACTTTTGTAGGCCTGGAGACAGCGTTTTCCAGCTCACTCTAGTCTGTTTGTGATCCAATACTCCATTCGGCTTTGTTGGCGACTCGATTTTTGCGAACACCAACCGTAGCTCGGAGACGAGACAACCCGGTGCTTGAGGGGTTGACCTGTCGACGTCCGAAATGGCTTTGGGAGACACGCCGAGATGACTTGGCAGAAAAAAAAAGTGCAGAGTGAGCGAGGGTTTTCGCCTCTTAACTGTATCCCTGGTTGTGCTTCTTGGGTCGGCAAAGTCGTCCGTCGTGCTTAGGAGACTCGGGAAAACGCCAAACGACGCTAGTGAACTTCGTCTACGGGATGTTCCCAAAAAAGTTTACAAGGTTTTTCTCAACGCAAAAATAAACCACGCGTTGCCGGACACTCATTCTCCGCCAAAATGTAGCCCTAGCAGCTCCTATTAAATGCCCAAGTTTCATAACTAACCATTATTTTTATTCAAAGATACAAGCGGTTTTCCTGAATTTGGAACGGGAAATTGGGGCCCGTTCCCGGTAGCCGTCGCCATTCATCTCCAGATATTCTACGGCTCCGTCGACCACTGTTTTCCCGTCAAAAATTTCAGAAAATCGCTCGTAACTTTTGAGCAAAATAAAGGTTGGTCTCGAAACTTAGGCACCTGGTTTGGACCGCTGGGGCTACTTAATTACGATGTAGTGCAAAGACAACAGGGGAAGGAGACAGAGCAAAACCAACTAGCCCAACAGCTCATTTTAATACGCTAGGGCTACCATTGGGCGGAGAATGAGCGTTCAACAATGCACAATTTATTTTTGAAAAAAAAAAAAAAATATTCTTCGGACACGTTGTACATGTGTACCAACGGGAAAATTGGTCGGGGAGGTTCACCGGCATGGCCGCTTGCAGCTTTTACGGAGTGGAAGTTAGACATTTGGAACCGCTTTGCGCCAGAATGTGGTTACAGTATAAACGGAGGGAGATTTAGTTGGCTGCAGAGAGGGAGTGCGCACGAATTCGCTTGCACAGCGTACCTTTAGCTGCGAGCTAAGTGTGGATACAGTGTCTTTGGTTTCTTCCCTCACTGAGGTTTGAAGTGTCTGGAATCCGAGTCAGATTCACAATGTTCTCACGGGCGTCCCCTCGGGAGAAGTGCAGTGCTTGGCAGCTGGACTCCCTTTCTTTGACACGTTGTTTGGAGCAAGGAGGGATTTCGGCTGCAGCGAGCATTTCACACCTTTTTGCTTTGGTTAAGATCTGCCCGTCATTATTCCCTCGAATGATTGCTCGTCTAACCCGCATGCTTTGGTGAAGTGTTTGGCACCGGGTGCTGTCGTTTACGGACCTCGGTGCCTGCGTGGACGTCGGCCCCAATTTTCGTGCCGACGGCGGGCGTGCCAGAGTTGTCATGGCCACGTCTTGCTATAGCCATCATATTTTGTTTGCACATACTGACAGATTTGATAAGACGTACGATGGACTCGCATGTTGGATACTTCTGCCGTTTGCTTTGAAAGGTTACAAACGAAAGGCAGCATGTTTTAAATGACCTTTCTAGGACTGTAGCCCTAAAGGAAAAAAAAAGCATAGAAAATTAGAAAATAACAGATTTACACAAATCTCGCAATATTTTCTGCCGCACCTTTATCTCCGTCTTGCCTAGCTCGCAGTCAGGATTTATGCCTCTTGTTTTGTGTAGTGATACGAGCTAGAGAGAAAAGAAAATTGGCCGCCTCTGGCATTTTCTGAAGGCATTCTAAATGTGCAGCATTAAGAATGCTACGCATTTAAAGTTCCGTGAACCTTTGACTGCCGAGTAACGGCAATCGGTTTCTCGTCACTGCTGGCACTCTCGTCTTGCAGCAGCGTTTCTCTCGACCTTCTCTTTGCCTAGCCGCACCCGCCATCGTCGCTCCTGCTTCGCTTTTCTGGTACAAAAAGCCTGCAAGCAAGCGCCTTCATAGTATGTGTAGCAAGCTTTGCTGCTGCCGAATTCACGCCGAGGAAAGTTTCTGCTCCGGCGTGAAGCGTGCAATTTGAGGCTTCGCACCAGGCTCGCTGAGCACATCGCGCTGGCCAGCTCGGAGCAAGTGGAAAGAAAGCTTGCACTGCACAACCCCGGGTACCCCGGGCTCAATCCCCGCCCTCGCACGTTTCGGTCTGGGCAAGCATCGTACCGGCGTGCAGTCACACATCACTACCGCAGGATACAGGTTGAAGACCCCCAGGCTGGCGGCGGTACTCCACCGGCTAAATTTCTCACCTACGGCGTAAAGCGGCGTCGTTGCACCTCAAGGGCAGACCAACTTTGTGCCATCTAAACAAGGACGTCGAATTTGGTATTGGTTTGGGATGCACAAGCGTTAGAGCCGTCCTTATAAAAATGTGATGTTTGTGCTTAGACGGTGTAAGTTCGGTCTGCCTTTGAGGTGCGGAAATGCCAGTTTACGCCGTGGATGAAAAAGTTTGCCAAAGTTTGCTGCTGCAGTGCCCCTGTTAGCTAGCCTGAGGTCTTTAAAGGACACATGCAAAGGAAAAAAAAACTTTTTTTTGACAGCTTAGATGGAAAAAGGATGTCATAAAACGATTTTACAACGAAGAAACAAAATTTTTAGAGCTATATTTACGGCGCTATACGAATTTGTAGTTGGCGCTTGCGGGAGCCGCCGCTAATCACGTGGTAGGCCCGCGCGCCGCCGCGCTGCGTCGCCGCCGCACGCTGAGCGTTGTGCGAACGCCGCTTCAACGCGTTTCTCCACGCCGCCGTCGCCGCCGCCGCACAAGTTCGTCTGCTTCGGGGCGCCGCCGCCGTCGTCTGACCGGCGCACAGGTCTATCACGTCTGCTTGCGCTTTTTCAGGAGTTTCCTCTGGGCTCTAAAAGTTACTTATTCGTCTTGGTTTTTTGTTATACTTCAAACAAAGATGAATAAGTTACTTTTAGAGGCCTTAGGAAGCTTCCGAAAGAGCGCAAGCACCACGTGATAAATAAAGACCAGTCACGTGATAAATACAGACCACTTTTTCGCGGTGCCCGCGGGCGCCAACTACAAATTCGTTTTGCGCCGTAAATATAGCTCTAAAAATTTTTTTTCTTCGTTGTAAAATCGTTTTATGGCGTCCTTTTTCCATCTAAGCCGTTTAAAAAAAAATGTTTTTTTCCTTTGCATGTGTCCTTTAATGTGCACCCCGCAGAAGCAATGCACAACTGCATGCCGCCGCGACGCTCATCCAGATAGAAACGTGCAGGGGTGGGTGGGGATTGAACCCAAGATCCTGGGATTCTGCAATGCAAGCTAAACCGTTCGGCGACCGATCCTCCGGACAGCCGGCCCCATAGATGCGTTTGAAACGATGGGCGAGCGGGAGACAGGGCGCGGTGCCTCCCCTGACGCCCCCTTCCCGACAGACCTGCGGTTGTACCGGGAGCTGTGCCCCAAGAAGCCGCAGCGGCGTCGCGAGTGGGACTGCGTGTGCCTGACGGTGTCGGACTGGCAGGGCTTCCTCAAGCAGTTCCGCAAGTCCTCCAACCCCCGGGAGAAGCAGCTGCACACCTTCCTCCGCGCCCACCTCTTCCCCGTCGTCCAGGCCAGGGCGCAGGTCAGTGCTCGCCTTGGACGCGGCCTTCGGGGCTGGCTTCTACGCTCCGTTTTGCCAGGAAGCCCAAGCACTTTTCAAACGTGGGATCGGATTCCTATAGCTTTTGTCCCGTGAATTCAGTCGTCGCACTTAACTTGGGCAGAAGTAAACGAAGTCCGCATTTTCTTCGAAAAATATGTGCTGCGATTACCGCGGGGCATGCGGCTATGCCGCCTGTGATCTGTTGAAAATTTTGTGATATCGTCGTCCCAAGCCACTTTAATGGCGAGCGAGGGTCATCCGTCGACGACGTCACTTTTGCTAGTTTTTCTCTCCAATCTTGCACTCTTCTGCGCTCGCTAAATTTTCTCGCTAAATTAAGCAGGAAATTTCGCTAAATTTCGCGGAAAATTCAGCAAAACATTTTCTGCTAAATTGAGGGGACGAGGATAGGAGGAGAAGGTACGGTAAGGAAGGAGGGGAAGGTATGGAAGGGAAGGAGGGGCATACCCTCCCCTCTGTACCCTAACCTCCTCCTCCTCCTCCTCCTCAAGAGCTGCGCCCTAATTTTGCATTACAGAGAATTGCAAATGTCTTTCATTCTTTGAAGACAGTTCATTATGACGAGGCATGAGGGACTTTGTGAATGGCAGAGTAGGTTATTGATGATTTATTGATAATGCAAGATTCTTTACGAGCTAATAAAGCAGGCATTGGCTGGGGTATGCCGCTCATGATAATTGTTTTCACGCTTACTAGGTAGTTTGTGCGGACGTGCACTGGGTGCGGACTATCTAAGGAAAAGCTTTTTGTTTTCAAATAAAATTTGCTCTACGAACTATAAACTGGGTGCGAACTATGGCCCAAAAAAATAGGGTACTCCGGGGGCCTAGGAGCCCAGTTTGTGGACCCAGGAGGCAGACGACGCCATCTGGCACGCGTGAGGGTCTTTGCAAGCCGCCCAGTTTTGTTTAAAAAAAAAATGCGGCGGTGCAGCTGTGCTTGGAGTAGTCTGACGCCGGAGTGGATTCCGACGCAGGCCCTGGAGTGCAGCGAGCGCGACCGAGCCACGGAGAACCGCTGGCTGCTGGAGCGCGAGGGTGAGGAGGTGCGCCGCCTGGCGTCGGACATGAAGTGCAACGGGGCCCCGTCGGTGGACAAGGCGGCCGGGCCCGAGGCCCCGCCCCCCGCCGCCCCCGCCCCAGAAGAGTGCCCCAAGGGGGCCGCCCCCAAGGAAGAGGGGCCGTCCCCGGAGGCCGACCCGGCCACGCCCACGGTCGTCAACGGGGGCAGCCTGCCCCCCGGACGCCCTCCGGCATTGCCCGACGGTGAGCAAAGCGTTTGCGTGTGCAGCGTTTGGAAGGGGCCTATGAAATGTTCATAAAGGCTGGCTCAGACACTTTTGTTTGCTTACGACCGAGCTCTCGCAATCTCCTACGACGAGAGAATGCACTGGCCCGCTTCTGTGGTGTTGGCGAGATCAAGTACTTATGAGATGTAATCGGTCATAACATTTTCAAAAAACCTCCTACGTAATGCGCGAAAAAAAAAAAAAAAGAAGAAAATACAGTCTAAGCTTGTTATAAGAGACCTTGATTTTGACCAAGATTTCAGTCTGTTGTAAAAGGAGTATGTTTTATGCAGATATAAAGTTGAGTGAATGGTATGTAGAGGAAAACCAATTGAACTTCACAAATCGGTATGTTATACCCAAGTGTCTGTTTTAACCAGGTCTGTCGTAATGAGCTTAGACTGTATACGGAAATTGCGAGTGTTCCGTGGCCACTTTACAAATGGCGCAAGTGTGTTCTCCCATCGTAAGAGATCACGAGAGGCCGTAAGCAGTTGCTAGGTGTGTGAAGCTGCCTTTATGCACGCCGTTTCCCTTCTGCCAGTGTTCCACTCGAGGTGCGTTTGCATATAGCGCTTTACAAAAAGCTTTCCGGCCCCTCTCTGTTTACCGATTCTGGCGACCCCTATTGGCCAGAAATTTCTGCCGTCCGCCCGGGCTGTGGGTATTTGGTCGGCGTGACACCTTAGCTGCATTGTGCTTTTGGAGTTTGCGGGCCTTTCTTGAAAGTTTTTACTTTATTTGCCTATTCAGGATGCACACTCTTTTTGTGTTCTCCTCCACCGTGAGAACCGGGGAATACCGTGGCTCGTAATCTGCTCGGCCTTTGCGAGGAACGAACGAAGAGAGAGAACGTCGATCGACCCGCAATGCGGGTCGTTCGACATTCTTTGAGGATTATCTCAGCTGAGATGATACCCGGAAAGCCTTTGCGGTCTGGGCAAGAAAAAGCCGATTGGGTACAGGTAGGGGACAGAAGGGACACATCCAATCTTTTACTTCTGTGTCGTGCAAAGTACGAGCTCCTCTCAAAATGTGCCCTAAAACGAGCCCAGATTCCGTCCAATCGTCGTGAAGTGACCGTCGTCGACACTGTGAATAGGATATGCTGCGTTACTCAAAATTTTCCTAAAAAAAACAAACAAAAAAAACAGTTTGGGTAGCACGTTGCATTGTGGGGCGCTTACAATATGTTGTTCGATCGATGAGACTCGTTGAATGTTATGTTGCGAGCGGGGAATACCTATGCCTTTTGGCTATCTCGCGTGGTAAAATATTTTCACAGTTATCTCTTTTTTCGACCGTGCCCATAGAGCAGCAATCGCCCATAATCGAAGGGCACGGAGGCCCATTTCAAAACTCCTGCAGAGATCTCGCATCTGCCGCACCATCTCGTAGGTAGTTTGAAAACCACAGTTTCGGTTTCTGCGTTTCTCCTCCTCTTCCTGCGTGACAGCGATTTTTGAACCGAGCGTGAAACCGACGGCCCGTTGCCGTTCGTGACACCGCCTCGGCCGCTTCCACGTGTCCGGTTCGCTTTCGGAAATGTGGCAATTTTTGCAAATTCTCCATAGAGTTTTGAGGACTCGGGGAGCGGAAGTGGGACTGACGACGAAGCCAGATCTTTGTATTGATAGGAAGTGTCCTTTGGCTCGTTGGGAACAGGGGGGTTGCCAGACTGTGAAGCCCAAAAAATCGACCGTAAAGCTTGACGCTGATTGGCTGGTAGAAAGGTCACATTATTAACACTGACGGGCTGATTTCGGTGAGTATGGGAGGTTCTGAAAGATAGCCAGGGTTTGAAAACAAGACAGCGCCATATCTTTATTCTACGAACTGTTACCACAAGTTTACATGCCACGTGTGTGTTAAGTTATCTGACGAAGAGCGCCGTGAGCATGGGTGCCGCACTCGGTAACGTACCGGAGCGATGCCGGAATGTTTCACGAGTAACAGAATCGTCCAGCAATTTGCTACACAATTTTTTTTTTCACTTCTGAATGTCCATGCTTTGCCACATTGAAAAACTGCTTAGCCCCGGCACGTTTGTCGTGGGGGTTGATTTGATTCTTCGGCAGCTCGATTCTTTTTTGAGCTAGAAGTCTAGTTTTTGCAGTTTATTCTTGTTGCAGAAATAAAGAACATTTCACATTCTTAAACTTTTTGTTTGCTGCTTTCCTTTTTTTTAGGTGTAGCCATATCTTACCCAGCTTAGAGCGATTTTTGGAAAACAATTTAGTCCTATAAAAGAAATATTGCATTAAAATTCGAGCCTCTGCTTTGATGTCTGCATAATTAAAAAGCCTTTTTGTTTAGCTTAATTTCTTCTAATGGCATCATATTGTAAACTTAGGTTTCCTTGGAAAAAAATTAATTGTAACAAGGAGCCACACAAAACAGGCATTTTTGCCAGGTCAGAAAGGAGTCAAGACCAGACCTGGGCAGCAGGAAGAATGCATGAAATGGAACGGGCATCTTAGTCCATTCGTTCTGTCGCGTACGAACTCGCCAAATATAGCTTTTATCTGTTTGTATCCGTTCCCAAAGATGGTAGCATGCTTTCTCAAAGGCCTCGAGAAATTCTATTTTCCATAAGGCACAAAAAACAACAATAAAACGCAGCAATTCAGCCACCACTTCCGTCCGGAATTGCGCCTACGCAGGCTGCTGCAGCCCACTGACAAGAAAACCCAGAGCTCAGCGCAGTCGGGAACACCGACACACATTCTCAAAACCAGGCACTCATGCGGTAAAACGCGTGGTTTCAGACTGTTGCCAGAGAGGTGTACACGGCACAGCACTAGCTTGGCGCTGTAGGCACAGTGCCGACTTATATCGGCTCTGTTCGAGAGCTGCGTGTGTGAGCTGACCTTTCTGGTTGAACGGAGTAGAGTCATTGTCCGCGAGGCCTCTTGAGTTAAGGTTTCTCTTTTTTCCCCTTTCAGGGCCGGGTTCGGTGCCAATGCTAAGCGACAACCCGAACGAGAGTTCGGTCACAAATAACAAGGAGGCTTCAATGGCCGTGCAACCCTGTGAGTCCCTCTCGCCACTTCTTTTATGCTATGTTGTAGCAAGTGCTCCTCGTGCTGCCTCGGTATTAAACTGTGTAGGACTTTGCCCGCTACTATCGTGCCTTAACCCTTTGGCTGTTCAGTCTTTTCTCTGAAAAATGTTTCCCAGTGGTCAAACTTTGTGTCCAAAAGTAGTTAAAAAAAAATTCAGGTGCAGGTTTTTGTTTTTATTATTATATAACAGGAGCACATACAGTGCTTGCAAGCTGTTCATGTTTAGAAGCGTTCTGAATTCTGAATCTGAGGTACTTAACGGATTCTGAATCGGATGGCAAGCTCTCATCCTCAAAGTTCATTTCAGAGGAGCGTTCAAAGTCTGAATCGGAAAAGCCTGTGCTTCGATTGCCACTACTGCCAGGACAGCCGATTAGAAGCGACCATCTTGCGCATTTTGCCTGTGTGAAGCAACTAACTTCAAAACTATAAATAGCCCTTAGCAAAGGGAAACACTGCTCAAATATAACATTTATAGTTTGCCAAAGATATCACAAATAGCAGCACCTTCCACGGAGTGGCGGTTTTGCTTTTAGGCGGGTACTTTGAAATGTGTAAGCGCCGCCGTACATGCACGGCAACAACCGTCAAAGGGTCGGAGAAACATATAAACAGTTTTGAGTTGTGGTTTATTTATTTATTTAATAATACCACCAGCTCTATTTGGAACTTTAGTGGGATGGCTACAAAGTTTCGAAAGTCATACGTTAGTTGATGGTGCGGGGTAAAGATAATCGGTGAGGTGGAGCGAGTTATACATATTTAGAGGACAAACACAATTGGGTTATACAGACGGATATGCATGTACAAATCGTAGTAATAGGTAATACCCAATATGTGAACGAAATTAAAAAAAATGTTTAGAAAAACAATGTTATTTGTTAGCAGCCAATATTATGCTCAAATCACGCGAGAGTGTGGTCTATTGTATTTGCGAATGAATCTACATACGTGGAGTGAGCAATGGCATCTGGCAAACAATTCCATTCTGACTCCACTCGTGGGAAAAATTGGTATTTAAAAAAATTCCTAGTACTTGGACAGTCTGTTAGTAGCTCGCCGTGGTTGCTTCTTGTGGCCCTAGCTGTGGGCCAACCGAGATTGTTTGTTTTATGGACGAGGGCAGCGATGCACGAATGGACGCCGGTACGATGCTCAACAACCAGGTCAAAACGAGCAGGTATGGGAGTCGAACCCAGAATGCCCGAGTTCCACAGCAGGAGCTTTCGCTCCACGCATGTTTTCCGAGCTGCGGTGGGCTAGCGCATTAGGTCGCCGATCCCTTGTCATCTATCTCAGTTTGTACGGATGTTGTAACATATTCACGATACACAGCTATCTGAGTTTGTCCAGGGCTGAAAAATAAACTTCTTTATTGCACACTTGATCAAATATTGATGCTTTATGTCCTATTTGCTGTTTTTTTGATTAGGTGGGAACCATCGTCTAACAATTCAAACGTCTTTGAAGCGCGTAGGAGGCGTTTTTGTCGGCCAGCTCTTAATTTTGTAGGAGCTTGTTTTCCAAGTCTGCGAGCGCCCAGTAGCCTCGCTCCAGCAAATGCCAACGTCGTCCCTTCGATCCTTGCAGCCCCCGAACCAATGGCGCCAGCGCCAACGCTGCCCCCTCAGCCGATGGGGCAGCAGCAGCAGCAGCAGCAGCAACAGCAGCAGCAACAGCAACAGCTACAACAGCAACATCTACAACAACAACATCAGCATCAGCAGCATCAGCTACAGCAGCAGCACCAGCACCACCACCATGCGGGTGGCGCGCTCACGATGGGCGGCAACATTGCCAACCCGGGGCCCCACCACCACCTGGAACCGCACGCGGGCTGCAACCCTCTCGGCGGCGGAGGAAACTTGGCGCAGGCCCTGGTCAGCAACGTGGCGCCGCTGGGAGGCGTGGCGCCGCCGAGGGGTCCCCTGCCGCCACAAGGGGGCGCCGGTGGCGGGCTGGAGGCGCAGTACATGCAGCAGCAGAGCCAGATCTTTGTGTTCACAACGGGGCTGGCCAATCAGGCGGCGGAGGCCGTGCTCACGGGACAGTGCCCCAGCATCATCGCGTACCACTGCGCCCAGCCGGGGACCAAGCGCTTTCTCGAGGTAACTAAGCGGAATGCGTTCTGTTGACCCGATTCCACGAAACGAACAGGGCCGCGTTTCTGCAGCATTTTTCTCCAGACTACCGTATTTACTCGCGTAGTGAACGCACCCCCACAACGGGTACTAATATTTTGACTTTTTTTTTCCACTTGCAAAATGGACACACCTCTAATTTTCAGTTCCACGAGTCTCGAATTGCTCCCAACTTAGCTAGCCACCAAGCCCACCAAGTAAATTTTCTTTTGCCGCCAAGTGGTCGGGCCAAGTCAAGCCAAGCCATTCTCGTAATGGCTGCAAGTGCGTAGTTGCGGAAGTGCGTTGTCCTTTCCGGTGTCTCGTCGGCACGATAAATGCTCGCAGCCTCGGTGGGCTTTCGTTGGCGTTCGGTCGTGTTTCTTTACTTCCGACGATTCCGAACGCATTTCAAACCAACATATTCCAGCGTTGCACGTAACGATATATAAAATATACAAGTAGGTATTACCTCGTATTACCTCGATGTTAGGGTGTCGCGCCACATCATGACGTTGCGTGATGTCGTGCGACGGTGTCGTGCCCGTTATGTCGCGTGATATTGTCATTAGTAAAAAAAATGAGCAGTCCTCCGTGAATCCACAGTGCAGCCGGACATGTCATGGTGAAGTCATTGTTGCATTCACACACCGTGGAGTCCTGACATGAAAGTCTCTCGACGACGTCATTGTTAGTGGAAACTCGCCCCAAGCAATAAACGCGCTGGAGCTCAACGAGAGTCGCCGCGTGCTTGTGTCCCGCTTGTTGTGAGACGCTGCGAAACGCGCTGGCGGCGTCACTGACTTCAGCTAAGTGGTGCTGCGCGCCGTGATTTGTTGCAATGTGCCGTTCAACATGTAAAATGTGACCGGTTGTCGTCCAAAAGCTAAGCATTGGGAAAATTGGCGCTAAAATATTTCATGGACGTTGCGAGGAGTGGCATCATGGGGGGTCGGTAGTTCGTCCTCCTAATTGACCGGTAGTTAGCGGGGACGCAAAGTGATGCTGTGCCGCCTCGTGGTATTCCCGCGAATGAGGTCGGTAGTAGCACTTGACCCCGACGTCCGGTCGATCCCTCCGGCAGAAGCACCCTCTGAAGATTCAGCAGTTCAACAAGCAGAACCCGGCCGCCTGGCTCAACAGCCTGGCCCAGATGAAGCAGCGGGGGGCCGGGGGAGTGCCCCCGCCGTCAGCCGCGGGGGCCGCCCTCAAGGGCGTGCCCCCCCAGCCCTTTGGACCCCCCTTCTGCGGCGGGGGACCGCCCCACCACGCCTGCGGGGGAGGACCCCCCCACCCCGGCTGGCAGGGCCACCCCCAGGGCCACCATCAAGGTCATCCCCAAGGCCACCCCCAAGGTCACCTGCAGGGGGGCCCTCCCCAGGAGGTGTGGGGCTCGCCGTACGGACCGGGACACCCCGGGGTGCCCAGGGGGGGCCCCCCGTCGGCGGCGATGGTGGGCCGGGTGCCCCACGGGGGGGGCTGCGGGCCCCCCAACGGGGGATGCTTCCCTCCTGCGGGGGCCTACCAGGGAGCGCCCATGGGCTGCGGCGCCGCAGGGAACCCCGCCCAGATGGGGGCCGGTGAGTCTCCTTTACTTCTGGGGGGCTCCCTGCAACTGAGACTTACTGACCAGCAGGGTGGGACAATATTGTGATTTTGAAAAATAAATCAGATTTATTTGATTTAAGCTTATTTGTTTTAAATCACTATAGGTATAAACTAGTAATTCTTTATCGCTAGATGTATTTTAAGCTTGTCAGATTGATTGATCGACCTGTCCCACCACCGAAAACAAGAGTTACCTTAAAGGGACAATGAAGACGATTTTATTTAATTTTTTCAAATGGTGTTTTAATGCTTCTTGGGAACATAGCATGCCGCCCAATTTTTTGTAGACATTTATGACGCGTATTTATGTGCCTACGAAAGAAGTAAAGAAACCGAAACTGAACCATCTCCATTCTCGTTTCTGGGGCTCCGAAAACGGAGGTGACGTAGGGAGTGACGTCAAGTGTGAATAGTCGGTATCGGTAGTATTTAGAAGATCGAGACTCTGGTTACCGCGGTGGGTTATAGCAGCGCGGTGGCGCGGTCGTTGCGCCAACTCTGTCAACATAGACGAATGCCGCTCTCGTGAGCGAGTTCGAGCTTCCGTTCAGCGACCGAACACCAACGGAACGGGAGTACGTGTGTGGCGGCCTCTGCCATCACCCGACGGAGACCGCCCAGCCGGCAACGAGCGGCCCGCATGCCGAAGGGAAAGCGGCAGCGATCCCGCCGTTCCGGGATCCGGTTCCTCCGCGGACGTCCTCTTTTCGTCGTCAAAGAACACGAGCAGCAACCCACACATGAAAACTAGCGTCGCCCGAACGAATACTGGTCTTCAGTCGACCGTTAGAACAGCCATCTACAGCTACCATTTTGCAAAATCTTTCGAGTACCGTGTTCTTTTTTAATTTTATTTTGTTGGCCCATAGTTGCTCGTTGCCGGTTTCGCGTCCAGCGTAGCAAAGGAAAAAACAATGATGCTGCTTTATTTACGGTTTAGTAATCATTTCCGATTCGATTTATACGTTTGATGGTTATTCAAGCGGAAATTAGAACAGTATTTCTAAAAATCGCGAACCAAAACGTGACCGAGGGCACGTTTCTCGTTTTGACCAATCGCTGACGTGTCTCTTGTGACGTCGCGCTTCTTGGCCCCGCATCAGTCACGTGAGCTCCGCTTCTCCTGGCTTCTCCCGCAACTCTTGGGGCGTCGCCCCAGTCGATCCCGGTACGATTATTACTGCGACTGTTTAATTGATTTGCGCGGCACACAAGTGCCGGTTTGGGCTGAAATTTGGGCAACGTGGCCTGAGGCGTGCCTGGAACCCAGTTCCATCGCCAAAAAGATTTCCGAAATTGCCTTCATTGTCCCTTTAAATTCAAAGTACACATTAATGACTGTTTATCGAGTGAACTCTGCCATAGGAAAGCAGCTTGATTTCTTTTAGATAGTGAAAATGCATCGGGAGATTTTTCTTTCACGTTTTCATTTGCTCACGATAAAACATTACTTTTTTAGATTTCTTTTTTTTTTTTTTTTTCACATTTTTATTTGCTTGCAATAGAACATTACGAAATTGACAAAGGAATGGTAGAGAAAAAAGCTCACTGTTCTGATTTGCTCGGAAGACCACCGCATTGTGCTCGTAATCGGCCCGATGGGAATCTTTCTTGCTCAAAGATTCTTCAATTTAAATATGACATAAATGCGCGTAGAAAAAATTGAGTCGTAGACAAAAGGTAAATAAAAAGAGTATTTGGGAATATTTTTGTGGGAAAGGTTTGGTTTATATCGTTGTAGTAAAATCGGCCCGATTTAAATCACAATTTAAATCACCTTGATTTTTATTCTCCACCCCGCGACAAGTCTTTTGCCCCGCTTTGGCCGCATGCTCTCGAGGTGCATAAGACGACCTTGTGCTAGGTCAATTGAACCTCCTCCCTGCCCTTTGGTCTGCGACTAGACTCGCCTTGTCGGCGACTGTTTCGCTGCTTCTCGCTGGCATCGCTTATGGGGGCCCCAATCAATCATTTAGGAATGGCCAAATAGTAAAATTGGTTAGACTGAGTCGTGCCGTGAGGATCTGACCCACACCCGGTGTTGGTTTCAATTTTAGGGTCGCAAGCAGGAGCGGCTGTCGGTGCTTAGGGCTAGGTCACGATCGTACCTCGTACGCGAGGTAATCGTTCGTCCTAATTTACTCTGCCTTGGTGGGTCCTCGATCCTCAAGCTCAGCTTGCCGGCATTCTGCACAAGTGTATTCGGTTCTTTGCTACTACGAGTCTTTTCGAGGATGCGCATCTCCGGAGGGTCGTTCATGTGCACGCTTGTCGGGTTGAGCGCACGGGCGTTGGGACGTGCGCGGGGGCCGTCGGCTGTATGCCGGTGCAGAAATGCGAGAACAACAAATGGCTGCGAGGACGCTGCGTGGCGTGGGGCAAGAACGTCGTACAGAAATCCGCTCCCACGCTTGTGTTTGCAGACCTAGCGCGTGGCGATGGCGACTGAAGTAGGACTGCACCGAATCGTGGTGTCACGTTAATGCTCTCTATGATCCGGACTGTCCTTAGTGTCAGTGTAACCGAAGCTGCGAGGGCCTGTCGTGCCTGCACGCTTGTGCATCAAAATCATTGTCTGGGGCAGCATGCTCGCTTTTTCATGGCGAAACAGCACGCCAGTTTTAAGTGTGCAGCATTTGTAGGGCCAGCCTCGGTGATTTTGGGTCTGTGGTAGGTAGCCTCTACGACACGTCGCGGTATCGTGCACCTCAGCGTGACGACACAGTGCCGCATCGGGCAACGTCGTGACGTCGCGTGACACTACGAGGTCATGTGACAACATGAGGTTGCGTGACACCGCAATGCCATGTGACACGGACGTTGCAGATTTTGCGATGTGACCTGGTGTCACGTGATGTGACCCGATGTCACATTGCGGGATTACGTGTTGTCGAATAACGTCAGTGGCAATGTGACATAATGTGACATTGTAACGTCACGTGACAGCACGATTTCACCTGACGACACATAATCCCGTGACGTCACATTGGGTCGTGTGGCACTGTGGCGGCTCTATATATTGACTAACTACTAGCAGTGTGTCTTCGACTGGCCTCCTTAGTGCACTCTTCAAAAAAATACTGAAATAAAAAAGATTTGTTTTCAAAAACATAAATAAAAAAGTAAAAAAAAAATTGCAGTATTTATGTTAGACGCAATTTAGGTGCAAGTCAGGGCCCGCTCTAAGTCCCACCTACAGATCAGTGGCCCTGCTTGTTACTACAGAATTGGCTGGGCTGCACGGCCAAACACGCTAACAAGCCTAGTGTGTCCCTTTCCCAACATCTGGCACGTCTAGTCTGGCATCTGACGCCGCCTTCAAGTCGTGCGAGCAGACACGTGGCAACCTCCAGCATCATCTGCTATTCTACCGCCGTCTATCATCGTCTGCAAAACATAGCCGTGAAAGCGCCGCGTCTGCGTCTGCCATTCCTGCAACGCTTGCAGGAAGCGACTATGAAAGCGGCGTTTCGGCGTTCCATCACGCACGAGCCCCGTTCTAATACAAGCGTCTGTCAATGTGCGGTAAAGGTCTTAACTCTTTTCTGTTCCTGTTTTTTTGTTTTTTTTTATTTCTTTGCATGGCTTTTGTGAGCAAGGCGGGTGACCGTCATGACACGCAACTAAAGCTAAACTAAATTAGATTAAATACTACAAATTTAGAATGGCTTTGGGAAACGCCAGAGACAGACAATATTTTTCTATCTACATTCTTCCGTTTGTGTCGAACCCACGACCCGTGGAGTTCTCCGGGACTCCTGCCCGAGTGTGCGAGGTGCCCCGTGCGGCCGAAGCGCAGCGTCCCGCAACGCTCCCGTCCTTCCCCGCAGCGGTGGGGGCGGGCCGTGCGGGGGTCAAGGTGCCCGACGAGAACCTGACCCCCCAGCAGCGGCAGCACCGGGAGGAGCAGCTGGCCATGATCCGCAAGATGCACCAGCTCCTGTTCCCGGACCAGCACGGGGCCGGGGGCCCGGGACCGGGCGGCGGGGCAAACCCGTCCCAGCCCCAGCAGCCGGGGCCCGGCCGGGCCAGGGCGGGGCCCGACCAGTTCGGGCCCTGCCTCGACCACCAGCACGAGGGGGGCCCACCCCAGCAGCACTTTGCGGGAGGTCGGTGTCCTTTCCTTCAACACTCCTCGGAGGGGAGGCTTGGCTTCCCCCCCTGAAACTGTATGAAAGTAGTGTGTTCATGTTGCAAGACTCGTTTTTAGTTTGGAGAGATTCCAAAAATGTGCTTCTCGGTCGTTAATGACTTGATGTAATGAGTTTTAGGCGAAGTCGCCGACAGTACCAGCTTGGGGACTTTTTCGAAAACTCATTAGCGTAATATTTCGAGAGATAGCCCGCCTAAAATCAAGAGCGAATCGGCTGAAATTAGGGAGTGGGCTAAGGTGTGGTGTGCACTCGAGAAGAGTTGAGAAAATTTTTATTCTAAGTGATGTGCCCCTGCCAAACTAGTTATTGTGGCGAGAGGCAATGAAGCGAAGATGACTACTTTGCTGTCAAAATGTTTGTTTACCATAGAAAACTGGCAAGCTGGCTGCATTGCGGCAGTTGCCTATTGTTCACCGTACCGGTAGCCGGTGCAGAATCATCGGGATGCAATGACAACGAACAGCACAGTGGGTAGCGTCCTTGTTGGGATTACGACGGGGTTTAAGGGTGGTTACAAATCCAGAAAGCTTCCTTTGTGGTGTCAATATGACGAAGGGAAAACTCTTTCACAAATCTGACCGCGTGTACAACGCCAAGGTCCGTTTCGGCGGACAAGTAGATATCACGACGCGCTGTACGTTGCAGATAAAATTGAGCGCACCCGCGAAAAGCATCGAGCTAGTACATAAGAGAGTTTTCTTAGTTAGTGTAAAGGTGTCTGCACTAATTATGTATGTTTATTGCTTTCTGAGTCAGCTTGACAACAACTGGGCAATTGTTTTTGCACCGTTCCACAATTCCCAGCACCACTCTCTTCTTGTAGGCTGATAGAAAGATGGACGGTTTGTAGCTTGAGTAGGCAACCTCATTCTGCTTCTCCTTCCCGGTGAAGTGTCTGCTACATATTTTAGAGTTCGCTGTAGCTGTCCATGTTGTTCGATCGTCGCTAGAAAAAGTTAAAGGGACCATGAAATGATTTTAAAATCGAGTTTCATCCACCGCACGTCGTAAAAGGTGTGAAAAGAAACACAAAAACACAAAAATAGGGAGCCCAAAAAAATTATTTGCTATAGAACTTTTAAAAGAAAACTGGACTCTTTTGCGCCTTCCTTCCTTCGCCTGTTCACTACGATGCATACGCAGAATCGGTGCACGTCAGCCGAATCCACATCGCCTATTGGGTAAGAGCCTACCTCACCAGCACCGCGATCGTAAACAATAAATAGCCGGCGAATGTTTCCTAAAAGTTTTGTTAAATAATATTCAGATCCACATTTTGTAGCATAATTAGAGATGTGTGGCGAAAATTGCCAAATTTGATAATGCTGAGAGCCAAGCGCCATCTATCGTGTGGTAAACGAAGCAACTACTGCGCGTGCGCAGTAGGGCAAGGCCGCCAGTTACTTTGGTGACGGCGACCGATGAACATTTATTTTCTTTGTTTTCCTTCCTCTCAAAACTCTGACTGACTGAACGTTTATTTTTCTACGTGTTCTTCCCGCGCGTGCCGACTTCAAGCAGCAAGAAAACAGTACTTAAAACAGACCACGACGAACAAGAACGCTGGATTCACCGACTCCGACGAAGCGTATAGGCCTAGCAGGCATTCCGACTCGGCGCTGCGTTGCTTCGTCGCAAGACCGTCTGCCTACGACCGGCTGGCGTGCTAAATGGAATATGCCCGCGCGACCCTTGTGGACCCTTCCCGTATTATAGTTTGATCACTGACCTCAATTCTAGATTAAGAGGTGAGGTCAATCTCTTCCCCTTGTTTTCCGAGGCAGTGTTGACGAACACTCGTCGAAAAGGGACTCTCGTCGATTCTATCTTCTTGTTTTGTGTGATATAGAGCTGAAATAAACGCCGTATGGATTGCCTTTGTAACACGGTATGTACACTTTGTTATTGGTATGCCATTTTTATTCTGACAGACTGCACGTCACTGTCGACCCCGGTCCAACCTTTCTTTGCCGAGTGTCGCGTCAGTATTGAGTTGCAATCGTAAAAGAACGGTCCCGAAGCGCTTACCAACAGCGCGAATACAAGACTTCCATCAAGCGCGCGCGTCCGCTCCGAGTGTAAACAGGTATTTACGTGGCTCTTGCTGACACTCGTAGTTCAAACGTATCTTTTTTAACGTCGGCTCGCTCCTGCATCTCCGAGGCCGCGAAAAACGCCATCTACGTCGCTTTGCAAACGACTGACACGGGCCGGCCCTTCTGCCAACAATGACGGGGTGGTGACAAGACTCGCTGCACTTCCCAACAGGCATACCGGCGTATGGGACTAGTCCCATGCTGTCGCTGTAGCGCAACATATCTCATTGAATTTCGCTCAGCTGCGATGCGGCGATGAGAGGCGCCGATTCAGGAAATACGTCGGTGACATCAGCGCAGTAAAACCTACCGGCGCACCCCAACTCGTTGCCGCTAACACTCCCATTCTCCTACTGCCGAGAGAACTTCCGGTTCCGGAAACGGTCTACGTCACGGCTTCTTTTGCGGTCAGTTGGAGAGAATGAAAAAGTCGATATTTCAATAATTTTTTGTGTAAAAGTTAATAAACCGAGACGAAAACGGATGCCTGTTCGGCATTCAGTGAACATTGACGGTTTAATGTAAAAGTTATCTGGAAAAAGTAAAAAGGTCATTTCATGGTCCCTTTAATTGTATTATTTGTCCGCAGCTTAAAGCAGAATGCGAACTGCAAGCTGAGAAACACCACTTACTTGCATCGACGCACAAGACGCATACAGGTTGTGCGGCGCTCCGCCTGTACGGCTTTGAGGGGAAGCTGTAAAACTTTGTGCCGTGCGCGTTCTGCAAGCCTGACCTGCTGTTGAAACAGCAGGTCAGCGAAACTACTCGTCTGTGCCGGAAGGCACACGCTAGCCTTGCTGACTTGCTGTCTCACGCTGCGACAAGGTGCTGATCTACCGGCCAATTGACACTCGCGCAATATTGTTAAAAAATCTGGAGGCTGTAGGTACTCTTGGAGCCAACCATGCAGCAATGGTAGCTTTTTTGTTGTGGAATAGCCACTTCAGAAACTACATCCTTAACCCGCTGCAACGCACAGCCAATGCAGCAACGTGGCAGCGACTGCAGAATCGTCTTGACGAAACCGACCCGTTTGCCTCTAGGGGTGCCCTGGTTGGGGCTTCAGTTACATTCGCCCGATTCCTGTAGCTAACTAGACCCATTTACGTTGAAGCCAAACGCTGAACATCATTGGCCGGATCCATGATGTTACGCCGAACATCATTGATCCGAACCGCTGTGCTAAATGCCACCGCATTTCGTCGAGAATCAGTGTAATGACAGCAGCAATTTTGGCATAGTTTTTTAAAATTTCTTTGTGTTATTTATTTTGCATTTCGTTAAAATATAGCGTAATTTCTTGCGAAAAATTGGTACCATTTAGCATTCTCCTCTAAGCACCCCCTCTTTGGGCATCACGGGTGTGAAAAAAAAAAGGGGTGCTTAGAATAGAGTAAATACAATACCTTTTCCCATTGTTTTAAAACACGCACGTGTTGCAGGCCCCCCCACGGCGGCCGGCATGATGCACCCGGACTGGCAGGCGATGCACGGCCAAAAGCCCTACCTGGACGACCGACGGCGGAAGGTGAGTGGATGCTCTTCTGCCCGGCAACACTGTGCATGTCGCAGCTTGTGCCACAGTCCGTTTTAAGCTGCGATCGCCCGACACCTAGAGTTAGGCCGCCATGATCCAATACGGTCCGATTCGCCGATTCAAAGTGCCAGGGATGACTGTATTGTCCAACGTTACTTGATCAAAGTCACTCGACAAGCTTCTTAGAGCGCCCGGTGCCTCTGTGTGGCGCACCTACGCTGTTTGCTCGGCCTACGTGCAAGGAAGCAACATAACCATTGAAACGTCGGATGCATGCTGCATGCGGTGGAAAGCTATTGCGTTGCGGTTTTTGTGGTAAACATGAAGTTAGCACAAAAAGAGTATCGCTCTAAAACGGCCGGTTTCTGTCGGCACTGGTGGCACTAAAAATGTTATCGGCCTTTGATCCGCCATAATCCAATCCATTCCAATCCATTGTGCTTGTGGACACCCGTGAATGTGGCAGCAATTACATTAGAAGATTTTGTTCTGTAGCACGAAACAAAGTTTGCTTGCGCGGGAGCGTGATGTGTAGATAAATGGAGAAGAGCAAAATCCCAAACGTCCCCCAAGTGCAGTCGATTTCATGAGCCTAAGATTGATGCTGAACTACTGTGCCAGGGCAGAGGCATGTGATGGTTATTAATGCGAAAGCATTAACTGGTCCCATGGAGAGAGCTGATGTCATCAGTTTGAAGCGCGAAAACAGCACCTAGTTCCCCGATCCTAAAAGAGTGAAGTAAAGCTGATGGATTTCGCCTTCGGTTCTACTGGCTGGAGCTCGTCGACGAGGCTCCCATTGGCCGCTGTGCTCGTCAGTTTCCACGACCGCTCACCCCATGGCGCTGCCTGTCCATCAGCGTGCCGTTAACACAGAGCGTTCAAGGTCAGCGTGCCCAGGGGAGCATGTGCGCCGACCGGCGACGAAAAAGGGAGCGGACGAGCGGCTCGCATGCTTTCGCATTCACAACTCGCACGAAGTGCTTAGGTGTACCTCGAGCTTTTTAAACATGTTAACGTTTTTTCCACCAACTGTGCTGTGGAATGTGCAAGCAGCGTGACTGGGTAACTTCGACTTGAACTCCTGCAACACAGAAGCTCCAACAGTTGAGGGGTGATCGAACGCACGGAACTAGCGCTTGTGTCCGCCGTTGTGCAGGGATTCCACAGCTTCTAACAGACTTCGAAAAGAGTCTATGGTAGAAGTCGTACGCTTGCTGGAAGTTTTCGAGAGAAAGTAACAGACTGAAGAGGACATCACTGATCAGAAGCGGCGGCCAAGATTGTCCTGGCGTGTTTGTGGTGCCAGTGGGACGCCAGAAAAGGCAGAAGAGCGTTTGGGGTGGGGACAGGGGACAGCGTCAGCACTTCGACCTTTCTTCATAGAAGAAGGACCGAAGTGCTGTTGTATTTCAACGTAATCTGCAGCAAAACATTGCAAAAAGGCAACGCTTTTTTAAAATTTTTTAAATATTTTTATATTGACAGCACAGGTCAGACTCGTGCTGTAAAATTAGTCTTACCTCATCACACGACTGTTGTGAGGTGCGCATTCATTATGCGAGTAGATATGGTATAAGGAATGTTCAGCTGGGCCAGGCAGGAGCGATATTAGCGATGCACGCCTTGGTGTAAAATCACCCTAATGCAGCGTTGGCTTGTCTTGTCACGTGACATTCGTCGACGTGATTTTCAAGTTGAAGACAGCACTCCTCGTGACATTCGCCTAAATATAAATAACGCTTTTCTGTCTGGTTCCACTTGCTCTTGGAAGTAGGAACGACCCAGACGAAGGTGGAGGTGCAATAGCGTCTAAATTGTCTTTTCAGGCACACCTGTGCAGTTGCACACACTGCTTTAACGGCTTTTAATGGGAAAGCGCTCTTGCAAAGTCAGAGTTTCCGGCTGCTGCAAGCATGCTGCGGCTGTTGGAATGCATCTGAATAATGTCGAGGACGAGACCCGCACAGCCAGACGGCAGCAGTGGTGCAAGCCGTCCTAAGAACCAGAAGCAGAAACTCAATCACTTCTGATAGCTTCCCAGGTATTCAGAGCACGTTGAACGGCAAAATCGAAAACTTTTACTACCCTCTGTTGCAAAACGTCGTGGTTCACAATCCTTAATTTTTCGCTGTGCAAGAGCGCTTTCCCTCTGAAAGCCGCTAAAGGAATGGTGCAACTGCACAGCTGTACGCAAAAAGACGTGCACATGTACCGCTATCATAGATACAATAGTACGGGTCAAATGAGTAATCGGCGATAGACTTGCATTTGCGTCAAGAATGTTGCCTTCTCTTTTTTTTTTTTATAAGTAACCTAGTTTGATAATTTCAACAGAGTTGCAGGTGACTACAAATGCAGCCTAAGCTCATTACAACAGACCTGATTACAATAGGATATAACATACTGATCTGTGAAGTTCAGTTGGTTTTCCTCTACATACCATTGACTCAACTTTGGATCTGCATATGACATACTCTTACAAGACTAAAATCTTGGTCAAAATCAAGGTCTGTTATGTGTTATAACGAGCTTAAACTGTAGTATTTTATTGCGTGTGAAATGTGTTTTTTTTTGTACAGGGGTCTGACTTTTTCTAAGATGAAAGCGAGAACATTTTCAGCTGCTGAGTGGACGTGGTGCCACAGCTTGCACATAATCAACCAATGAGACATTTTTGACCCGTTTGCGAGCTCACAATTGGCAATATTTTGGGGAGAATGTCTCGCCAACATACAAATAGAGAGAGTTCTTGCAACCTCTGGCGTGCTTGTCCTTAGTACTCATTAATACACTGAACGAATCACGAGTTGTCAATGGCTTCCAAGTGAAACGTTCAAAGAATGAGTAATTTGAAAGGATCGCTGCCGTAGTTTAGGACAGCTGTTTCGGTTATTCAAGTACTGACACCGGCCTGCAAATTCCGCAGGTGGCCCAGACACACGGCAGTGTCGGCGCCTTCCCAATCTCGGCAGGGTGCAACCCCGATTTCCCCGGTGCGGGCTCCCCCGTGCCCGCGGGGTACCCACGCCCGGGCTCCTGCCCCAACCCAAACTTCGGCAACAACGGCTCCAATCCAGCCGGCGGCCCGCCCAATGCCGGCACGGCGCGCCCGAGCTCGTGCACGGGGGGCTTCAATTCCCCGGGCTCCTTCTCGAACCCGCCGACCCCGTCGGGCTTTGTCGGCAGTGCACCGGGTGCCAGCCCGGGCGCCGTGTTCAGCCCCGGCCCCGCGTCAGCGGGGGGAGGCTACCCCGGCACGGCGCGGCCTTCCCAGTGCGGTGGGACGCCGCAGCCGAACTTCGGGGGCCCGCACCCCGCGTCGTGCGGTAGTCCCGCGCTGCAGGCCTTCTCGCCGTCCGTGCGGCCGGGAACGAGCCCGACGCATTCGGCGTATGGGGGCTCGAGTCCGGGGACGGGCACGCCCGCACTGGGACGTCCCGGCACGCCGGGGCACCCGCAGCCGTCGCGGAGCCCCGCGTCGGGGGCGAGCCCACGGCTCCAGCAGGGACCGCCGCCCCCCTACGGCGCCAGGGGGGCCCTGGCGAGCCCCCACCCGCCCCCCAGCCCCTCCCCGCGCCCGTCGGGGGGGCTCCCGTCGCCGGCGGAGCCGACGCGGCCGTTCCCACACCCCGCGGGGCGCCTGGCGAACCCGAGCCCTGGGGGCAGCGTGCAGACGACCCCCCTGAGCTCGCCCAAGCCGTGCGGGGGCCCCAGCAGCGTGGGCAGGGCCCCGGCCACCCCCACCACCCCCGGGGGCAGCGCGGTGGCCAGCCCTTCCTCCGGGGGCGGCAAGAAGAGGGCGGGCACGCCCCTCGGCCAGGAGGGGGAGTTCGGACCCGGGGTGGGCGGCACGCCCGTCGGCGGTGAGTAGCGTTGTGGCGCGTAGACCGCTGCTGCGACCTGCCGTCCTATCCCTCCCGTGCACCAAAGGTGCTTCCAAAGTGGCAGCAAATGACATTGCGGAAGCCAGCCGGGCACTCTCCTAATGACTCCATTCCTCAGGACATGAAGACTTGTGTCTGTCATAATGACTCGCGTTCGTAACTAAATGTAAGGCCTCGTAACATAATCAAACAGTGAAACGGAACCGAATCAGTCTTCACCTAGGAAGGCACATCTGGTACAAGCCTGGTCACGCCATATGTGCGAGCAAGCTGGCACAAACGGGGAGAGAGCGTGCAGGAGGCGAGAGGGAAGCAAACAAGCGCGTGCCATGGAGGAAACGGGGAGACGCGAAATAGCAGGTTCAAAGCTGGGCTGTGCGACCGCAAGAGACGCAAACTTCCCGTTCCTCTCCCGCTAAAGTGCTAGCTTAGGCAGGGCCTTCTCTGGGAGACAATATGCGCGACAATGTTTGCGTTATTGAGGCATAAAATGTATATGAAGGACATTTGTGCAACGTCACCGCGAACCAACATTCGGTTGATTCTGTGCTTCTACTGCCTTTGCCACAATGGTGTGTGGAAAATAGATTTTTTTTACTAGATCCTAAGGTAAGAGGCATGCTGCATAGGGAGACTCTGTTAGTGCAAACGAGTAATTGGCCTTTTTTTTTTGTTTTCTCCTAAATCTAGAAGTTGTGATCAACACTACTACTTTGGTGGAAAGTGGTCATTAGGGTGCTAACCTAGGCGGTCAAATATGGCGCTTGCGAATACCCTCCAACTAAAATGCAAAATACATGGTGCTTGTGCTTAACAGTGTCACGCAGTGTTCAGTGCAGGCACATAGCCAGGGGGGGGGGGGCCCATGGGGCCTGGGCACCCCCCAAAATCTTCCATTTTTGCTGGGATCCCTCTCCCCCCTCCCCCTCATACAGCATTTTGTAATAAATGCCCCCCCCCCCCCCCCCTTCCCCTCCCCCTCCCGAAACAATATCCTGGCTACGTGCCTGGTTCAGTGCTCACCAAAATTATGGTGAACATGCTCTCTTTTGTCATGAGAGCTCTCTGCTGGCGGCCACCAAGCAATGGCTAAGTGACATGGCACTCAGTGGGACACCCCGCAGTACTCTGCGTGGAGCCATTGTTCAGCTGCCTTTAGGATAACATCCCCATGAGAATGCACACAATTTGGGTGTTCCGTATTAGTTAGGTGATCGCCGTACCTGACAAAACTTTAGCCTCTATTTTGGTACAGGGGGCAACGTGCAGACAAAAAGAAAACTGTAACATAAGTGAAACCAGCAGTCTCGGTATGGGTTGTACAGCCAAAGTCAAATGTTCCAAATCTTATTTTTTTTCCCAAAGCCGTCATATGGTGGAATGACCTCCCTAATCTCACTATCACCGAACCTAACCGCGAAAGTTTTCGGGCTCTTATTTCTTGTCATTTAGGGATTATATGATTTCTGTTCAATCAATTCTTGTTTATGTTTGATTTGTGTTTTGCTTCCATTCATTTGATCGAGGTTCAATTGTTTGTTGTGCTTTGGCAATTCTCCAGTTGGTATATTATTTTTTCCTCTAAATGTTTGTTTTTTCCCTTCTTATGTAATGTCCTTCTTCGAGGGGCCTCTAAGGTATTCCAGTAAATAAGCATATTTATTCATTTAGGCTGCTTAAGAACCCTCGGGGTCAGGCCATAGTTGATATGCGAAATGTAGAGCACCATTTAGTAGCGTTCCTAGAACTACGTCTGCCATCTTGGTAGCAGCGAGAAAACGAAACCAAAGACCCAATCGGCAGAGAACCCACGTAAACCAACGGCCGTGCTTCGTGCGAGAGGTGCGATGTCAACGCATTGGTGCGTTCTTCTGCGGAAGCAGTGATATGCCTTTGATTCCTGCGTGACATGAACGCAAGCGTGAACTAAGTTCACATTTTTTTTCTTCTTTTTATTTGATACTTTACGCGCAGCTTTTTGACCAAAACAATCCGCGACAGTGTGAAAAACATGCGGACGTTATCGTACGGCGCGAACCGATTTACAACTATTGAACTGGGCCCTAATCTTTTCAGGAAGTTTTACTAAATTTGTTTCTGGATTTCTGTTGTTTTTTTTCTGGTGCATCCTGTAGTACTGGCTTGTGTTTTTCTTGATGCGAAAGCAGCTCGATGTACACAGGTGAGACCAGGGCGCGCCACCGACCATCATTGAGGATGCGCATGGTTAAAAGGGAACAATGAAAGCTGAAAACACCACAGTCCTTCATTGGAATGCCATATATATATATATATCTCATAAAAAGGAGGTAAATGCTTTAAAACATATTTATTGGACGACGTTCCGAGCGGGGACCGCTCTTCATCAGGTCCTAATGTTGCAGTGAAAACTGGAAGCCCGCAAAAAAAACAAAAAACAACAACAACAACAACAACATTGAGGAAAGGCGAAAAAACAACTTCTCAGAACTGACAATGGGTAGACGAAGGCCGCGGCCAGGGAAGGGGCCCCGCATGCATCCCCAAACAACCTCCCGCTAGGCGCCGTTGGGGCTCGGCAGTGTCCAGAACGAAACAAGGGAATAAAACAAAATCAACTGGGCCCAAAAGCGCGCCCGGGTGGCCGAGAAGAGCCAGCAGAGACACAGGAGCAGCTCGGGCGCGAACCGAGACGCGCGATGGTTCATGTTACACACCCAAACACCCCTCTCCACCCCACACCCCCCCCCCACACACAGACACACACACACCCACACTCACGTGCAAGCATGCTCCCCCCCCCCCCCCCCCCTCCCTCTTTTCCTCTTCCATTTTCCCTATTTTTATTTTTCTCACCGCCCGCCTCCCCATCCCGCACCCGAAAGCGAAGACATTCCTCGAGGTCGTAATTATGTCCAACGCAAAAAAAAAAAAAAAAGAAAAAAAAAATATATATATATATATAAGGAGGATACTGTGGACAGCCAGAAAACAATCTCATTGCTTAGCAGCAATTTCTATATATTTTATCTGGTGTCGGTAAACGAGGTTTGTAAAACACCTCTAAAACTAAACGGGAGAGTTTGTTGATGAAATATCCTCGAAGATTTAAAGCACAATCATGTGGAATAGAAAACACAACAGACACGGATGACCTGTCTGTTTGCTCTCAAATCTGACAGAGACGGGATTTTGCTGTCTTTTTTGTCGAACGCCACGTTCAATTAAATCACTTGCTTAGGTTCATCGCAGTGGCTAGAGCTTCGATGTTGGCAAAGAGCTACGCTGCAGACGTCAGGTGGAGCAACACCGGTGAAGCCGACCTTATTTGACGGCCCCTTTTTCTTTATTTTTTGGGTCACAGCTGAGGTTAAAATTATGTTTAGTTGAAAGGAACCCAAGGGGGGCGGGTGGTTTTTGGAAAGGCAATGCTGTCATTCTGCCAGGGTTGAACAAATCTTCATTAACCAACTCGACATCCACCGACTGTGCTTGAAGTTGATGCTATCTGAAACCAATCTGAGCTCTTTGCAATGCCTGAGAAATATTGCTCAGGATACAGTTTCCTTTACAAAAACTCTGTGCTTTCCATCAATTAAAACTTTTGCCAGCAACAACTAAAAACAGAACTAACCTTGACTTGCATGTATTAGAGTGGAGCAGTCTACCGCTATACAGTAAGACTTTATGTCTCTTAGCGTAGAAGAAAGAGTCCTTTGTCCAAGTTGGGCGATCGAAAGTCAGAAAACAATAATGTTGCCAAAACACAATCAGTGCCAGAGAGTCTCTGCCCTGGAAGTGCTGAAAAGCTGTAACTCAAGAAGCTTGCCGCTACCAAGATGGCCGCTCACACGGTGCGGCCAGACCACCAAGCAGTTTTGCATATTCTCTGATAGAGAGGTCGGCAACCTTTTCGCCGCAGCGGTCGAAATCTCTGCGAAACAGAGACAGAGCGGTCTGAATAGAAAACCGGAGGGGGGGGCATCAGTTTCTGAACATGAACGACATGATGCACAGTGAACTGCTATACCGTGTGCTGCACACTGTATCTTGCGAGGCCTTTGTGGCCTAGGTCCCGCCTTCATCATTTTCAAGGGCACACAGCTCTCGTTCCAACATCCAAAATCCCAGGCAGTATAAAAGCCGCCAGTCCAGCCGCTTATTGTAATGGTGGCCTACAAGATTTATGCTAAACTTTCTATCAATCGCTTGGCCAGAATCTCCATAGTAAGCCTGTGCATATGGCAAAAACTCCTGAAATTGACAATGGTACAAAACCATAGTTTTGAGCAGTTTATGCTGGATACAATAACCTTAATTACTGCTTCTCAATGCATCACTTTGGTGCACGACAACCACAAATAGGTGGTAGAAACAATGAATGTGCCTAGAAAACACCCCCTGGTGTGGTGTTTCAGAATTAATATGTCCGATTACACAAGGTCTGCAACCGATCATATTTCTTGTGCCATTAGTCTTCGAGAGTATGTGTGTGTGGTGATGGTGGGGAAGGAGGGTTTCTGGTAGCGTGCCAGGGGTTGTATCATACCAGTTCCCGGCCCTTGGTCTATTGCATGAGGGAGTGGTTGAGTTAAATAACCAGGTCGACATTTCCCGGAATGAGTGCGTTGAAACTATGGCTTCAGATGTCGCGAGTGAAAAGGAATGAAAGAATTCCGTGTTTCGAGTGAAAGGAAGGCCAGCTTTTGCACGTTGATCAACGCGAGGGAACATTTGGTGCGGTGGCAAGACGAACGACGGATGTGGATGGCCGTCGGAGGAAAGCCCTCGAAAAAGAAACATAAGCGGGAATGTTTGACGCCTTCTGCTCCCTCGGTTGCAGACCCGGCGTCGGTGTCCCCGGTGTATGCGTCCCGTGGCCCCCACGGCCAGACGGGGCCCAAGCAGGAGCCGGGCCTGATGCCCGTGCCCTCACCGCAGCAGATCCAGTACCTGGGCTCCCTGGAGGGCCAGGAGCTCACTATCCAGAAGCAGGCCAACATGGGGGTGCCAGAGGGCATGCCCATGGGCCCCCAGGGGGCTCCCATGGGCGGACCCATGCACCCGATGCACCACCACCCCCAGGGGATGCTCCAGGGCCACCCCTCTGAGTGAGTGGCCATGGGGACAAGGAACTGGAAGGGGGGCAGACGATCCTGGTTGAATACAGGGGTGTCTCGTTAGTGTGGACACCAGGCACGTAGCCAGGATTTTGTTTTGGGGGGGGCCCACCCATGACAAAATGCTGTATGATGGGGAGGGGGGGAGAGGAGGACCCATGCAAAATAGAAGATTTCGGGGGGGGGGGGGGGGGCCCGGTTCCCTGGCTACGTGCCTGATGGACACCTCCGTTCCCCCCAAAGTCTTCCATAATGTGTCCGTAATAACCAGACAAAAATGCTCATATTTATGCGGTTCGTCCCCGAAAATGTCGTCTACGTAGCAGAATATCCATATTAACGGGGTCCGTATAAGCGGAATGGGACTGTATAATAGACTAAAACCCCCGAGACTGGGGTGAATGAGGGATTCTGTTTCGTGTCGTCCCTCATTCTCTCTGGTTTCTCGGTTTTAGTCTGTTGCAGGAAAAACGTTGCGAGAGACTGGGAAAGATGGGGAAATTTGAAGGAAGTGTCGCGTGAAGTTCAAGGTTAAACATGATGAAAAACAGCCTCAGAAAAACAGGGACAAAAAACGAGTAAAGACTGGACAACATTGTCCGGTCTTTACTCGTTGTCCTGGTTTTTCTGAGGCTGTTTTTCATCATGTTTAACTCTTACCAACTAGCCCAAATCACCACCCTACTTCAAGGTTAGGGGAATTTGGGGAAAACGTGAAAGGCTGGAAAATTCGGGATTTCGGGAAAATGCGAGAAGTTAGGGAGGGCTGGGAAATTTGGGGAAATCATTGCAAGAGGCTAGAAGAGGGGGCATTTGGAGGAAATAATTCGTGAAGTCAGAGAGGTCAGGGCATACCTGCCAACTCTTCCGAATTTTTTGTAAAATGTATGAATTCGGACTAATTTTATGATTTTACAAATCTTGCTTCAAATTTTACGAAAAAACAAATTATATAAAAAAAATTAAGTTTTTTTTTACATTTTTTTTGTAAAACTGTTGCTGGCGGTACTTTGCACCACCACGAGAGGGCGATAGGTACCGTCCATGGCAGCGTCCTGGTTTTTACTATCTGTCTGTCCGGTGGCTACGGATCCGAAACCAATTCAAAGCCTTTGTTCATGTGTTTGGTTGCGCACATTGGTTCGGCGTGTTCAGACGTGGTTGGGCCTCTGTTTCGGCCAGTTTCGAGGCGAGCAGTGCAGAGTCTGTGTGTTTGTTGCACGTGTAATCATGGCATTCCCCTGGTCGCAGTGGTTTAGCGGCGCAATGGCGTACTCCAAACCTCAAAAGAGGTACTTTCAGGTGTTCCTGAAGTTCTAGATGTAGGAATTCCTGTGCTTCGTGCTGTCCAAAAAATTGACCGCATCTCCATTTAGTGAATGATGTTGATTGGGGCCAAGCTCTGGTGGTGTTTGTCTGCGTATACACTGAGCCGCAGCATGCCGAGCCTTTCGTTCGTTTTTATCCATGTCAGAAAGAGAATGTGTGGTATGGAATGTGGTTATTGTATTTATTCGAATATAAGGCGGTCACGATTATGAGGCGAGGGGGCAGTTAAAGGACCCAAGAAAAAGAAACAAAATCGCCATATTGCTATACTGAGCTTGGAATATAAGGCGGGGTATGACTTTGAGACTATGGATTTTGGAAAAAAACCTCCCTTTATATTCGAATAAATACGGTATATACCCATTGGAGCATTTGACCGCAGTGCCCTCTCGTCTATAAACGTTGAGCCTATGCACGCAAAGTTTAACTCGATTATATACGCATTTGACCGCAGCACCTTCTCCTGTATAGACGTTGAGGCGGCTACATGCAACGTTTCATCCATGACATCCCCAGCTCTTGGGTTACTACCACATCTCAGAGCCCCGTACTCGCCCCGCAGTCGTGGCCGAGTGGTTAAGGCGATGGACTAGAAATCCATTGGGGTCTCCCTGCATAGGTTCAAATCCTGTCAACTGTGCAAACATTTTTCTTTTTTTTTTTTTATCATTTTTTTTTTTTTGCTCTACACGAGCACGTAAGCACGTCAGCTCACGAGCACCAGCAAGATCGATGTGAGCACGAACGCCGGATGGACAAGGCTAAACCCTAAGGAGCTTTGCCCCTAAAAGGGAGAGAAGTTAGGATTCTGTGGCACGTGCACGTGTGATGTAAGCATTTCACACATTGGCAAGGCTGACATTAAGCTGCACATCGCTCCGCGTAAACACCCACCCCCACCCCTTCTGCAGCCGCGGGAGTTTTACGAATTTGAAAGTCCACAGGTTGGCAGGTATAGGTCAGGGGAATTTGGGAAAATAATGCCAGAGGCTGGAAAAGTGGAATATTTGGGGAAGCCATTGGAACAGTTGAAATTTGTAGAGAAATTGTTGCAATAGGCTGAAAGATCCTGGGGAATTTCGGGAAACCATTGCAAGAGTCAGGGGTATTTAGGGAAACTGTTGAGTGAAGTTAGAGAGGTCAGAGAAATTTGAAGATGATGTTATGTGAAGTTAGAGTGGTGGGGGAATTGTGGAAAAATGTTGCAACAGGCTGGAAGAGTCTGGAAGAACCATTGGAAGGGTTGGGGGAATCTGGGGAAAATGTGTGAAGTTAGGGAGGTAGGGGAATTTGGAGGAAATTTGCAACAGGCTGGAAAGGTCTGGAGAATTTGGGGAACCATTGGAAGAGAGGGGGGAATTTGGGAAAAATGTTGTGTGGAGTTGGAGAGGTGGGGGAATTTAGGGAAACCATTGGAAGAGTTGGAATTTTAAGAAAATATTGCAACAAGCTGAAAAAGCCTGTGTAATTTGGGGAAACCATTGGAAGAGGCTAGAATTTAGGGAAAATGTTGGGTGAAGTTTGAGAGGTCAGAGGAATTTGGGGAAGATGTTGCATGAAATTAGAGAAGTGGGGGAAATTGGGTAAAACGTTGCAACAGGCTGGAAGAGTGGGGAATTTAGGGAAAATGTGTGAACTTTGAGAGGTTGGGGAAACTTGAGGGTGCTGTCACGAGAGGCTGGAAAAGTCAGAAAAATGTTGGAGATCCTTCGGAAACTTCGAATTCAATTCTTGGTGTTGTTTGTCAAGTTGGCCCAGTTTGTTTTATAATGGTGAGTCTCGCTTTTGGAACGTTTCCGCGAGGTGGTACTCGCCCCCGAGCGTGTCGAAGCACGTCTTATTTAGGCAGTAGGAAGCCGCCAATGAAAGGAGCAAAGTAACTCTGGGCTTGCCGTCTGGTGTCGGGGGCAAACAAAACTGAGCGGGGTGGTCCTCGCAGAATCCCGCCTCTGGACATGGGCCCCAGCCTGACGTCGGAGAACTCCCAGGGCTCGTACCAGTCGTCGTGTTCGTCCGGGATGGAGGGGACGGCGCCCCGCATGGGGGGGCCTCCGCCGGAGGGGGGGCCCCGCTTCCCGAGCCCCCCCGTCCCCTTCGACGGCCGCTTCGTGGGGGGCATGGCCCCCCACGAGGCCTTCGGCTACATGGACCCGCGCTGCCGTCCCGGCGGCGTGGACGCGGACCACTTCCCCCATCAGGGCGGGGCGTTTGCTGGGGGGGCCGCACCACGGCGTGGGGTCCCGGGGGCCGCAGCAGGACTTTGACGCGTTCCCCCCGCGGCCCGGGTTCGCGGGGGGGCGGCGAGCTGCCCCCGTCGCCCCACATCCAGAGCCTGCAGAAGATGACGCCGCCCTTTGAGCCGGGGGGGAAGGGGGAGGACCCCCTCAATGGGCCGCACCGCAACAGCCCGGGCTGCCTGACCTCGCTGGACGCCTCCCACATGGGGCAGGCCCGCCCCTACCCGGTCGCCGTGGGGCCCGCCAGGGGCTCCCCAGGGCCCCGCGCGGTGCGCACCCGGGGGGTACCCGCATTTGCGGGCAACCCCAACGTGCAGGTGAGCCCCTGACGCTCTTTCGCAAGTGTAAGGACGTCTCTTGAGCTCCCTCCCCCCAAACAATTCCAGATGTCACATCGAGAAGTGGGGGGGGGGGGGGCGAGGTCCTTGTTGCTTGCGTGCGTGGGTTGCGGGATGGGGAGCTGCTCGCTGGATGCTCTACAGTCTTTGTAACTCCTCGAGAGAATAGAGAGGGGACCGCCAAAAACGTGACTGCTAGTGGAAGTGGCGACGTGCCAAGTACGACCGTGCTTGATGAGATGCTCAACGGGAGGCAGTGACCCGGACTTGTTTGCGTCGTCTTTTACGAAACCTCACATTTGCCATAAGACGGTGGCGTTTGGCTAGCAACAAAGAAGCGAGCCTTCATAGAAGACCCGCGGTGCTATCGCTTTTTAACGTGGTCTGCAGTAAAGCAGCTAGTGACCTCAGTTGTGGTGGCGAATGTCTGCGTTCGGTGCTAGTGCCGAATATTCTATTTGTATTTGAATATTTTGCGTTGGAATAGTCAGCTTTTGGTTCAATTTAGATATACGTTCTAAAGTTCTCGGCCATGCGCTCGTTTAACTTTAGAGAAAATGTTGCGTGGTTTGCCATGAGACGAGGAAACGTCGTGTTTCGGGTGCAACCGGAAGGAGTAAAGCTAGCGAGACGGCATTGTCGTCAGGCGGTGCGCGGCTTTGGAGAGGAGCACCGGAAGATTTCCTAGCTCGTGTTGTTGAGGGTGGCGGCACGACGCGATGGTATCCTCGACGGGGCAATGCTTTCACGCGCGACGTTGGTGGGATTACTTGACTTACCGTGCAACTGATTGCAGTGATGAGACTCAACAAGGGTGGCACATTTCGCGGGTGAATAATACTTTGAAGGCAGCGTTTTGGAGCATTCTTTTTTTTTTTTTTTTTATTAAAGCCAGTAGAGAAGCAGCGGGAGACCAGTGAGGCAGCACGGCGGTGGCGTCGCTCGACAACCTCGCATGGCGTACCGTGCGGCGACTGCTGTACGATCATGTCGCCCCGCAGAAACCATCACAAAGAAGTGCTCTTGCCGCTACGATTTGGCAACGCAACACAAATCTAGGGCAAGCAGCAGACCCACAAAAAGAGACCTTCCACGCCGACAAAGTTTGTCAAGACATGTAGTCAATGATCACTAGGCCTAAACGCCTCCGCTCGACCGACCAAGGAGACTCATTGAACACTTCGACGAGGGCAGGGTCGTTGAACTCTCATGCCGTTAGGCAAACGCTACCACGGACAAAAGCGGATATCTTCACGACGTAAACCGGGGCGGGTGAAGAGCAGAAAACCTCCGCAGAAACCAGACGTTGCCAATCGTGCTCGCTGCCATATTGAAGAAAAAAAATATATAGTTTTTTAAGTTGCGATGTTAGTGAAGTTAAGAAAATGAAGGCAAGTGGTTGTCTAGTAGACTGATACAAAGCACATGGAGGGAAATTTGCCTCAGACTTCTCAACTTTTCACTGCCTACAGTCAAATCGCGATACAGTGTAGACCGCATATAACGTATGTCGCGGGAGTCGCGAAAATCCGCACTATAAGCGGTACCGCGTTATAACCGAAACATCGATTTTTCAGGCCAAAATACATGCCATGTGACAACTTACCTTTGTAAAAAAATTTATTTTATGTTACATGAAAAATAAAGCTTAGTTTCAGGAAAGTCTTTATTTCACCAGACTAGTACACTTCTCTCTCAAGTGTGTCACACATTTTGAAAGAAATGAGCGGCTTTTGCCTGGCGCAGCCTTTTAGCGGCGTCGCGGGTTGCGGACAGATGTTGCGAGCGTTCAGAATTGCTAACCCTAATCACTTTTCTCCGGAGATAAAAACGCGTGAAAATTCGCATCCTTCATACGGTACGCGCCAGTAATACCTTGAACTTGAGCACACGCATGAAATGCGCCAAATAAGAAATCCGGGCGATGTTCGAGGACACAAATGCTTAGAAATCACCACTGTAGTCGAAGTAAACAAACACGACGACACGGGCGTTTCTGCCGTCTTGAGAGCGCCGCCACGACATCGCCGCTCGAGTAGGTGGATGTTCCCTTCTATTACGTGCTGGGTTATCATAGCGACACACAACGAAAATTCACAGTCAAGGATAGCGATTTTACGCGGAACGATGAGATGAACGCCGTCTACGACGACGATCACAACGTTGATCAACCGCGACCCGCATGCTACGCGCGCGAACACTTCTCCTCGACCTGCGATTGGTCCGTCGTTGCGGTTGTTGGTTTCCAACGCAGCGGAGGGACGCACGCACGTGAACGACACGTGCGCGCGACCCTCCGTCGCTAGGGGAACTGAAGCCTCTCTCTTCGCTTCTCCCGCTTCTTCGAGCAACCTCCTTGCCCCGCAAGTGCCGCTTGCGCAACGCTTGCGGCTCGCGCCGTCAGCGCCGTTATCTAGTGTCGCACAGGGAAGCGTGCTCCGATCGTCGGTGCGGTCGGCGGGCTGTGCTAGAAACCGCACTGTAACTGGTATTTCCCTTCGCGCGCCTGCGTTTTAAGCGGTATGTAATTACATGGAGTTCTATGGGAGTCGAACCGGTGGTTTAAAAAAACCGCGTTATACCCGTCCTGCACTATAAGCGGTTACGTTGTAAGTGGTCTATACTGTATAACGATTCTCACCTTTAAGAGTTTTTGCAGAATAACGAACATTTAAAAAAATCTTTTACCAAAATTCCTATTGTTTCAATGTTAAAATATTTTACTAGTGCCAATTTCAAAATATTGAATGTTTAAAAATAATGTATGGAATTTTATCGGCCTTTGTACGTTAAGAACGCCTCGCTTTTACGAATTTGTGACAAAAACATTGCACCGAACCGTGACACGCAGGGTGCAAGGGGTTCAATACCTGCTGAGCCCCTTGGGGAATCCCCCTATTTACGATAAATTGTGCCTAGTGATGTTTATGTATAAAAGATTAGGACTGAGTATGTCTTTTATATGCTTTGGATGCTCATGCATTCCTGCTACGGGATATGCATGCTTCACGTTGCCTTTGCGTGGGCATAACGCTTTTTTGTCACGCTTCAGAGTTACACTTTTTGCACGACACCCAGCCCAAAACACACTCTGCATTGAAACCTCGAGAGGCGGTCTCAAAATATAACTGAGCACGGGCTCCTAGTGCGAGTTCAACATCAACGCGCAGTCTCTGTTTTTTTCGTAACCCAGGCTGCGTCCTTCAATAATGCATTTTAATCGGTGCTCGTTGCATTCTGCAGTTCATTTTTTAACTCTAAATGTTTTTCAGGAGTCGTTTTCTATGAAAAAATTGCCGCGTAAGAGCATACAAAACGCGTCATGAAATGACCGACATGAACGATAGACATGGACGAGCGTCTTGGACGAAAGTCACGTATGTTTGACGCGATGGGAGCATTACATGACGTCAAGGTTACTTATAAAGCTTACAAAGGTCCACGTAAAATCAACGTAAGAAAGACGCCCCAGCGGGACTCAAACCCGGGTAAAGCCGGGGGGCAGTCGGATACTAGAGCCACCGAGTTGCATGGCGCAGCTGCTCCGGGAAGATTACGCTCCCGGCAAAACGTGCGGGCGAGAGTGGCACGACGTCGTACCACGTGACCGCTCGTGTCATTGATGTTGCGCATTGAGCGAGAGCCATATAAGGTGGCGCCCGTGCAGCGCGCTCGTTCGCTCGGAGGTGTTCGGTCCGGACGCCGTCGGTCCTCCTGACCCTCGGGCCGCCCGTGCAGGTGAAGGCGAGTGCGCCGAACACGATTCAGTACCTGCCCGCGCGGCCGCAGAACCCAGTGGCGGCCCCTCCGCACCGGGCGCCCAGCCTGGACTTCCTGCAGCGCTTTGCCACGCCGCTGACCAACCTGGACGCCAAGGTGCCCACCCAGAACCTGCAGTACTTCCCGCCCTCGGGGCCCCCGCAGCAGAGGGTGATGATGCGGGGCCCCTACCCCGGCTACGGCCCCAACGGCCCCCACCCGCCCCAGCAGCAGCAGCCGCAGCACCACCCCATGGCGTTTCCCGGGAAGGGCCCAGGGTCCCCCGGAGGGGGCGACGTGGTCTCGCAGCCGCTGCCCCCGACGGTGGGGCAGGCCTTCGGCAGCTACAAGCAGGGGCCCTTCTACGGCCCCACCACGGCCGACCCCAACTACGCGGTGCAGTTCCACAACTTCCAGCAGCAGCTGTACGCCACCAACACGAGGAGCCAGCAGGGCGCCTCGAGCGCGGCGGCGGCCGGCCCCGCCTCCGGGTTCTTCGGCCCCAAGTGACGCTCCGCCGTGGCGACCCCCCCGTGCGCGCTCCGCGGTGCTCTGTACATAGGACTCGGCGTGCCGGTGCCGTCGGCTCGCCCCCGCGTGCGCTGACTTTTGCTCAAGGAGACGGCGGAAGAGGCGTCGCGGTGTGCGCGGCGACCATGGACGGACGTCGGTTGGCGCCAACGTGCGACGAGGACCGAGGCCGCCGGCGTGACGCGACGGGCCGCGGAAGCCGCGCGGCGGTCCCCGTCGTCTTCTCGTTGTGGTCGTGTTCTCTCCGTTTTTCTTACCGCCTTCCGAGGAAGCCGGTAGAGACCGACGACGGATGTCCGTGCCATCTTTTATTCTCTACGTTTTTTTGTGGAAAGTGTTTGTTCCTCGCGCCGCTGCCACCCCTCCCGGTTGTCGGGCGCGGACGCGTTGTCGCCCATTGTTATCTCGTTTCGTTGGCCGTTGTTTCTTTCTCGCGTGATTTTAAGACCCTCTCCTTCGTTTCTCATAGCCTTCTTTTATTTTCTCGTTTTCCGTTTTAAAACGAGCGCCGACCGAGCAAAGGCTCGCATCTCGTCCCTCCCCGTTTTTTTTTTCTTTTAAGTTTCCGGACCTCCGTTTTTACGGCGCTCCGCTTTGGGCGCCACGTTTCGGGTTCGAGGTCCGTCACACGGTTGTGCCGGGGCTACGGAAATTAGGACGTCGTGCGAAGTGTCACACGGGGTTGCTGGCCGAATTTTAACTCCGGCCGTGCTAGAGAATGCTGCCGTTAGAGTCTGGTTTCTAGGCGGCTTCTCGCAGCTTTTTAGTTTGTACATTTTTCGTTCACATTTATTGGCAGCTTAGTGGTGCAGTCGAGTTCAACCGAAGTGAGTCGTTGCATCGACTGGCCGAGAAGACAGACGAAAATTGGGCTTTCTTTTTTTTCGGCGAAGTGAGGCCCAAATACGCAACATCAGCCGACCCTCGAAGCAGCTCGTAAAATTACGGCTTCTGGCAACTTCTTTTTTTCTTCGTAATTGGATGGGAGGAAATTCTGCTCAATTTTACAGGACGCTCAAAAGAAGTTAGAGCGTGACGAGGACAAAGAAAGAGAGAACGAAAGAAGAAAAAAAAAATCACTCATCGCGTCGTTTTGTCCATATCCTAACTTATTTACCATAACGCGTTGCCATCAGCAATTTCCCCCCACCTCTCGTTTCGTGTTTCATTTTCTAGACGTCTTCCTTTTCGCCGTTTTCCATCGTTCAACATGCAGCATCGCATAAAACGACACACGACGACGAGCGAGCGAACGTGCGCGGAGAGCGGAGCTAACCTTTTTCGAAACCCTCGCGTTCCTCAAACGTGAAAATCCCGTCCATGCGAAGAAGACGAAGCGGAGAGAGACAAGGAGAGATTCCGACGGAAAAAAAAAAAAAAGATAAATCTCGAGAGAGACATTGTCACCACCCCCTCTCCCCCTTTTGGTGTTGTCGTAGTTGCCGCGGAAACGCACCCTCTCCCCGAGACTCCCCGACGAAGAAGTAGCGCGAGGCCGAAGTGAGTTGCGCGACTCCCCCGATGCAAGATGACGCGTGCTCAAGGGACGACTAGATGTTCTGCCCCGTTTGCCCCCCTTCCCTTGGCACCTGTTTTTATAACGCAATACGTACACCCCCTTTCCCCGCCTTCCCTCTCCCGCATACACCCCTCCTCGTAAAACTTGACACAGGGTAGTGTGGTTGCGCGACGACGGGCCGTCCTCCTTGTCCGCGGCAGTGTTTTTTTGTTTTTTTTTCATTTCTCACCGCAGCCGTGTGCCAAATCCGTAGGTTTCTAACCTTTTTTTTTTCTTTTCGTTCGAGCACTTTTTTTTTTTTTGCCCGTTTGAGGAATGTCCTTCGACTCATTTTTGTAGGGAAAAAAAAAAAAAAACGAACAGGGGGGACAAAGACGAGCTCCGAACACGAGCTTAGCGTAGTTTCCCCAATGTGCTACACGTAAAGGAAGCAATAATGCAACGAGCAAGAAAACTGTGTTGCTCGTTTTTCGCGTTTTCTTTTTACCGAGGGGAAAAAAAAAAAAGGCTTACCTCACGCGCGTCGTCGCCGAGAACCGAGAAGGAATAATTTATGCCGTTTTTAATACCCTTTTCGAGTTTATGACTAAATAACAAAACAGCTTCCGTAGGTTTTTTTTTGTTGTTTTGTTTTTCACGATTTCTTTTCTTGTACAAACTGTAAGCAGGTGGTCTTTTCGTGTGTGACAAAAAATGTGTCCTGTACAGCCGTGTTTCTACGTGTCGAAATGTGTCGTCCGGTCTCTTTTTTCCACGCGTTCCGCCGCAAAAGCGTCGTGAGCACGCAGCTCCGTTCGGGTTTGGGGCTCTCGTGTTAAAAAAATATTCAACTTGTTTCGTTCCTTTTTTTTTTTTGACCATCGAGTTTTTTTGTTTTTTTTGAAGTGTGATACGTTTTGCGTGCGCCTGGGAACATGTATAAAAGTGTGCATGAGCGTGTGTATGTGAACATGTGCGGGGCAATGCCAGTTTGATTTGCCCCGCCTCTTTTTTCTGCGCGTGAGAAGTGCGTGCGAATGTGGCGTGCTCTTTGGAGAGGCGTAATAAAGGTCTTTTTTTTTTGCAAAGAAAACCCTTTCATCTTCTTGTTCCAATGATTTTAGGTAGTTTCCCAACTACATCGCTATTTTTGTTTTCTGTCTGACATCGAAAATACATTCGCAAGATTCATTTTGTAGTTGCGTGTGCGTGACCTACGACCTTCACCTAAACAGGCGAGACATTTGTCGTGAAAATGAATAACTATAGTTACGGCCCAATTCAGAAATGACTTCCTTATGTCATAATTTTCTGTGTAGAAAGTTTTAAGCACAAACTGAAACACCTTAGTCCGTGACAAATCTGGCCGTGCAGTAATGGCCACAGCAGGGTAGAATGTAACGTGTGCAAGAACAAAACTATAGCTTCCAAAGAATCCATATGCCTCGAACAATCTTCCCACTTGTGCTGGGAGCGAGCAGTGCTAAGGCATTGTTGCCTCGGACGTTGATCTGCCACTGCCGTGGGAAAAGCACACTCTTGATGTGGCTAGGGCAGTTGTTCGAAAGTCGTAACAAACATTTGAAGTGACTGATATGTTTCAAACTCTCCTTTTCGATTTGAAGATTAAATAAAATGCACCAGTATTCGAAGGAGTTCAGAGAGAAAGTCGTCTGCTTCTTGCGTGGGGGTTGCGGTGACGTCAGAACGACGCCGCGTTCTGATTGGCTGTGATTGGAAGGATAGTGGGTAGACCTCAATGCTAGATACCTTGAGGTCTACCCACTATATGTTTTAATCAGCCAATAAAAGCACTGGGATCCGACATCATTGCAACCACTGTGCAAAAAGCAGACGAACTTGCGCTCCGCATAGAATAATTCCGCAGGGCTTCAATTTAGGTTTCGCACTCCAAACGTCCTGCTTGTTGGCCTTTTAAGTTGCTTCAAAAAGTGGCACAAATTGCATCTGTAACGAGCGTGTTGGTTATAAGTACACTGCTAGCAGAACGGACAAGACACAGATGGGCACATTCATTGTTGAAAGAATATGCCGCCTTTCTGCTACATTCTTTCCGCTAGCAGGGTACATAACAACTTGCCCACGATTTTTCCTCGTAGTGCACGTGCTGCGAGACACTGCTTTCTCGAGAAACCGTGCCATTGTATATCAAAGGTATACGACAGACTTTGCTACTGGTGCAGACGTTGCGCCTTCGTCAGTAAAATGCTGCATTCCAAGGTTGTTGCACCAAGTTTCATAAAATCTAGTGTCAAATGAGTCGAGATTTCGCCTGCAACAATATTTCAAAATCAAGTGGGTTAGCTGGCGCTCAACTTTTAATGGTTGTCAGCTCACTGGAGTCGACACCTGGTCCTCGCGTTTAAAGGGGCCCTGCAAGGACTTTTTTACTGGTCTTTAATTTGCACCGAACCTGAGCGCACTGAACATAGTAACTTAATAAAACTTTTCTGTTCTCGAATTTCGCTTTATTTTAAAAGATATAGGCAAATTAAAATTACAATTACAAGCAAAAAATAACCTCCTTCATGACGTCCTTGGTCGCTTGAGCGGCCGTGAACTAGAGGAGGTGTAGTGAGCTCGGCGAGCGGTCACGGGTGTCGTACTCCATGTCGACAGGTTGAGAGGGCGCCACTAAAGCATGTTCTGGATAGGCTGTATGAAACGGGCAGCCAAGGCGGTTTGCATTGCGTTTGCTGCGCGATTAAACAACGCGTCGTCCGGTTCAAACATGACGCACTGATATTTAGTCACTCTCTCCATGCCCGCTGGCTTGCCCGAACCCCAAAAGACGTGGAAACCGCAAAAGAGGTAGACGCTTAAATATGATTGCAGGGCCCCTTTAAGCTCAAGTCGTGCATATCTGCAGTAGGATGGAGCAATGTGCGATGTTTCACCGAGAGGCAGACTGTGCACTCTATCGCAGTAGTAAAACTTTCCAGACGCAATAGTGCAAAAATTAAAAGCCCGTGTGGAACGGGAATGTTTACGGGCAAGAATAAATCTCCACTTTGAACATTGGCTTCCCAAAATTTAATTGCAGGTGAGCTACATTGCAACAAGGCATTTGCACAAACTTGCAAAATTTTTCATTGAACCTCTCACTTAAGGACGCGTTCTACGCATGGCTTCCTCTGAGAAACTGCAAGGGCCGCACAATGAGTGCGTGCACCGGACATTTAAAAATTCTGCCCTTCTAAATATGCAGTCGAAACTGGTTTGCACATTTGTGTTTGACAGCATTGCGTTCTCTGCAACCTCTGATCTGTGTACACTGGAAGGGCCACTGGCAACCACAGCATCAATATATTTTTTTATGTCGCAAACGACTGAAAACAATCCCCACAGATCGTCCTTCAAATTTTAAGCTTAAAACTGGCGCATCTGTGGAGAAACGAAATATTTTCAGAAGGCCAAATTTAAAACTCCTGTTTGATTCAATGACATGTTTGGCGAAATGATGCGCTCCTTGCATTTTCGGATGACCTCGAACTGGATTGGAAGTGTCGTTGAACTTTCCCTGCCAACCGCACGCTTATTTCGCCATCCACTTGCATGTGTACTTTCTCCAAGTGCAGGCAGTGCACCACTTTTCACTTAATTTTATTTTCTGAGCAATTTTTGTCTTAAATTGATTTTTTTTTAAATAGGTAAAAAAAAACTTCACAGAGGGTAATTGGCACAGAACGAGAATATGCAAGTGCTACACCTACCTTTATTACAAGATCCAATTGACAGTAAAGACCTAAGTAGCACCTGTTGACATGACAGAAGAACGACACATGTGTAGGAATGCAAAAACATTCCTACATTCAGTGTATTCCTACAAGCAGCGCTCTGGCGGTGCCATCACGCTCCCCTACTGCACAGGCATCCGCTTTGCTCTGCTTTTCTTTGCGCTTTATTTCTGAGGCGCGTCCGCTTTGACCTCGAGTGCCCTGCCGGCTTCTGTGACGAAGCATCTGCGTTGCTGTGCTTTTGGGCAATGGGACTTTACCTGCCGTTTCACTCAGCTAATGTGAATTAAGGTGTTGTTTTTTGCCGCTACAGACATTGCCGGCTTTGCTCCATGGACAGTTAATGCTTTCGCGTTAAAAATGGCTCGTTGCAGACTTTGGTGAGCAACGTGAAGGATAGCCCCAAACTTGTTGATCCCTCGACAATTGCTCTCTCGACATCCGAGAAATTACCTGGCACCTAAGGAAACAACTCGTCCGAGCTGTCGCCGACTTCCCAATCGTTCCCATCTCTCTCAACACACTCTGCACAGCCGCCTAGCGCCGCCATAATGAAGGTAAGAAAAAAAAAACCAGGAGACGTTTTATGCCTCGTTACTAACACTTCCAAGCTCAGAGTTTTTATATTTTGAAGTGGCGCAGTGTGTACAATTTTCGTAAAACCACGTTTGATGAATGTAATTGTTAATTGTTGCAGACACAAAACTTGCAACATTTAAATTTCTGAAAAATGCCTTTCCAAACTATGTCGCAGAAAAAATTGAAGAGGAGCCCAGTTTAAGGGAGTAGGGCACGGATCTTTGATGGGCTCTTTCGCACGCCAGAAAACATTCCGACTGACCAACCAGTGTTGCTATACTGTCTGCAGTGAAGTAAGCATCTTTGAAATCTGTGCAGAGAAATGTGACGCAGGACCACCAATTTTTATTTTATAAAAGTTTATTTCAACATATAGGGTACTTGTGATTTTGTGACTCACACTATCCACTTTTGCATACACAAAACAGACAAACAGTCCCTATTGATAACATGAAAATGGACTAGATAGATGGCTTCCCTTGGCAGTACACACTTTCGGAAGTGGGAAGCATCTATTCAAACAATTGGCCGTTTCAACCGCTAGTGTTAAACAGTTGTCAGGCTAACGACAGGCGTGAAAATGTTGCTCGGGCATCCGCAACCACATAATCAATTGCAGACAGGAATCCTTTCTTCGCTGGCCACTGTTCGCTCGCTTTGTTTCAGTCTCAACAGTGTGAAGAGGCAGCAGGTTTCCTCCGAGTGCGTGCCAACAAACTGACTGGAAACAAGTCGGGGATGAACTTGGATGCAACGATGTGTGCGTCACATTGTGCTAACATCTCAAATATACTTGCAGGTGCCGTGCTTACTGCTTGTGCGAACGTTTTCGATTTCTTCCTTCACAACCCACATCGGAGCCATTAGTATGGAATGGGCACCAAAACACACAGTACATGATAGTGATCAAGACGAATTCCGACAATCTCACCAGACAAATGCTCACGGGTCAGAAGCCCTCCAGACAAAAGCTCACCACTTTTACTGTGAACTCTGACAAATATTCACCCATATAAAGTTTTTTTTTTACAGCGGAGCCGTTAAGTGCTAGTTTTCCCGGGATCGTGTCCGCCCTCAAATGACCTGATGACACAGAACTCTGGACAGCTACTGCCATCTATGAGCGACGGCGGCAACCTTTCGAGCCTTTTTACTCTGGCTTGCCGGCCATTACTTCATTCCCACCGTAGTAGAGCTTTGCTGGTCTTCTTTCTTCACCAGAGTGGAAAGGCTGAAAGCTGTTTTTACAAGAGCAAAAATAATATGAGAAATGCTTCAAAAAGCGGCTCAATCAATGAAAAGTATGTATGACCTGTGCAAAGCTGAAGATCAGTACTTGTAGTAGAAAAAATCAAATCGAAAGTAGGTCCTGTCTTAAGTACAAGAAAATGCACAGAAATCTTCATATCTGATACTCGCATAGTTACAGCATTACTATGACCATTAAATATACTATGCTACTAAGTGAAGACCCGGGTCCAATAAAAATTTTTCATCATGTACACACAAAAATCTCTCTAGAGGTCGCTCCTCTGCACGCCCAGTTCTTTGCTGTTGACTCTGTAGTCGAATCCAGTCCATTTTAAAGATGGTCTCTGAATGATAGAACCAACCCTAGCTCATCCTGCATACACTTCAGCCCAGCCAGTTTTACACCAAGAAAACCTTCGTCCCGAACACCAAAAAAAATTAAGTGAGGTGAGCTTTTGTCTAGTGGCCATGCAAGACACCTTTGAGAAGGATATATTGAT